CTTGAAACCATGAAAAAAATATTTTGAAAAAAGTAAATACTTTTCGAAATAATTAGTGTACTCACTTAAAAGAATCTCCCTGTATTATAATATAGACGATACACAGACTATCACAACCGTGGGTGAAAACAGGCTAAATGGTCTAGCTTTAATGAATATCCATGGAGATATACCTATATCTACGGCAGAGTTTATTGATGAACTTGCACTCCAATCCCGCTGCTTAAAATTCGCCTAGGTTCTCAATTTATCATAAATCATAGTACCACATTATTATAATCATCTATTTTTGTACTTTATAAAATAAAAGTTTAATATGACTTGTAAATTGTACACATACGACATACTTATTATAATTATCTCCATTAATATAATAATTTATATCAGTATATGGTACTTGTTTAAATTATACAGGGGGTGTGGGGGGCGGAGCCCCACCTTCCAAATGTCTATTAAATTTAAAACACCCCCGTGAAATGAATCCTGGATACGTCACTGATGCATATTGTTATATTAGGACAATATTAAGGAATTAAAAATATGTAAACATTATACAATTTATAAGATATAAATTATTATGTATTTAATGTATAGTATAGAGTGATAAGATATAAGATTATCTCGATACAAAAAAAAATGTATTTTTCATATATTTGATATCTGTGGTATTTTTAAATATTTAAATGTTTAGTAAATAATCATATGATAGATACGACAATTAATAGGTAACAGCTAGTTATGGTTGCCTCAGACTCGCCTTGTGAATGACGCCCCTAAAACGAGTAGAATGCAAACAACTACAAGAATACTTATTATAAGTCTTCTATGCATAACCATGTGTGAGCATATGGTAATTAGATCATGACGATGTGTGTGACGTTTTCTTTTCCGGCTAAAAACAAATAATAAACAAAATTAAAACCATAGGTACGAAAAACATTGATRGTTATATTTATTTAGTATGCATGGTAATAATTTAAAAGTAAAATACGGTGGAAATCTGACACATTGTCGATCTTATCAACAAGTCTCAGTAACAGTAGACTGTAACCAGTGGCGTATTTAAGGTTTTTCCGCCTCTAGGCACTTTCCAATTCACCGCCTTCCTCCCCCCTTCATCCTTCCTATAATTATTTATATAACATATTTAAATATACAATTTATTATATTATAATATTATACTAAAAAAGATACATTGAGATACATGTAGATATATAGTTGATTCATTTTAAGCGAACAAAAATTAGTTGAGTTTGATTTCATCAAATGAAAAATACTTTTTATAATTTTAAAAAAAATAATTGTTGAAATTTGCCACTCTTCGATGTTGCCGCTCTAGGCCTGGGCCTATAGGGCCTGTGCCTAAATACGSCTCTGACTGTAACGTTTTTTATAAATTTCTAGCTTAAAACAATTTGCGAACTTTTGTGATTTTTACGTATTTTTTCAAAATTCGAAATTTTAATCCTTTTTAAAAAAAAATAGTGACTACCTATGAATTTATTTTATTTTTCAACTGCTATTGTAACAATATGTTCAGAGCCTTGTATTAAATTTTCAAGATTTTCTACCCAAAACATAATTTTTATCGATATTAATTTAAAAAAAACTAATAATGACCGAAAATTGCATATACCTATTGAATAGTTTAACTTGAGTCAAACATTTTTGAAAATTTCATGGTGGATAGAATATACTTATATTAACATTCGGTGAAAACTTCATGTATCAATGGTCTTTTGTTTTAAAGTTACATCAAAAATCAAAATCGATTTTGTCGAAAACTAATTGTACGTAAAATTTCCTGTTTTTCCCTTAATTTTTAGTTTGTTTATATCGTTTATTTGACCCCCAAAGTACCAACTAGATTCACTTTCTGATCGAATAAGGTACTGAAGTCAAAAATCGAAGTATTTTTACTACCCCAAAACGTGATGACAGATACAAAAAAAAATATTCATGGTTATGACGAATTTTTGTCAATATTTGAATTTCAAATGCTAATAAAAAAAAATTGTGCCTATGTATTCTTATAATTTTTTAWTCACTATAARAATAACTTATGWGGAACTTTGTATTAAATTTTCAAGTATTTTGATTGGGCCAAAAAAATTTTATCATCACTTCAGTTGACAAAATTTCAGTTGTCTATAAATACCTCAAAAAAAGTCTAAATATTTTATAAAATTAAATCATGTAAAGAAAATGCCAATTTAAATAACTGGTAAAATTTTCAAGTATCTACGACTTATACTTTTTGAATAATAACAAATATCGTTTCAGGATAAATCGTTATCGTTACGCAATTTCGTAAAAATTTAAAATTCAAACGCACTTAAAATTTTTCCTATAATGATGCTTCGAGTTTTCTCTATAGCTATTTGAAGAAAAACTTACGGAAAACTTAGTGTTGTATTATTAATCCTTAGTTAAAAACACAAAAAATTTTATGATTTTTCCACTTCAAAATTACTTGCAAATTTCCGCGTTTTCGCTGATTTCGTAAAAATTTGAAGTATAGACGCTTATAAAAAAAAAATTGTGTCTAACGATTTTTAATTTTTTTTATCTACATTAAGAACAACTTATGAGGAACCTTGTGTTAAATTTTCAAGTTTTTTTGGTCATCTAAAAATTTTTTAACGACCCTTAAAAAAAATTATCATAAAAATCGAAAATTTCAGTGGTCTATAAATAAGTAAAAAAAAAAAGTAAAAAAATTTTAATGTACAATTTTAAAAACAATTAAACTGTATATAGATAACACTAACATAAACATTTGGTGAAAATTTCAAGTATTTACAGTGATGAGTTTTTGAATTATAACCATATAAAAATCGATTTGGTCGAAAACTGGTTTTGCGTAAAAATTCCAGTTTTTCTGTCACTTTGTTTTTGTTTTTCTCGATTTTTTTTTAAAACTGTTGGAAAATGTTTACTGTTGACCTCTACAATGCACCAAGGATATTCACTTTTCACTCGGAAACCACCCCCAAAGTTTTAAATTGAAGCATTATTTCGACTAGTTATGCTGTACACAAACACAAAAAAAAAACACACACATGCATCATTGTAAAATCAATACATTCATCACTTCGTTCAGAATCTAAAACTACCTATATTTAATGAAATCAATTTTATTATTTTTTTTATTTTATAAATTTTAATATATTATGAGTTAATATATGTGTTTTCATTAAGATAGTGTTTAATATATTTTATTACTAAGGTTTTTCACAAAGTGGTATCTTACTATTTTATTTTTTTATTTTTTTTTATTTAAAGGTTACAGGCTTCAACCGCTATTTGAGAAAAATAGGTGGGAAAAAAGATTACAATATTTGATTAATTATAGGTTATTTAAGTAAGTTTATAATTGAATATGAGCTTAAACTATATTTTATTGATAATGTTGTCTTTAGTGATGAATTGGATGATTTTTGGAGTAGATTCTACGTTGAGGGCTTCTTTGATGTTGGGTGGGAGGTTGAGGAGTGTGCGAGTTGGCTCGTGTATTGGGTATTCTTCAAAAATATGTCTTTTGGTGATACGAGTTTAAGACGTTTAAATATGGGCAAATACTTTATCTACAGTATATCCATGATAAAACTTAATGTGTTTACGAAAAAGCTTCAATAAATGTGTCATTTAAATTCTCCTTCCACAATCAATATAAAACAGTTAACTGTTAAGTATACGCCATACTCTAATTTTAATTAAAATTTTAGCAAAAAAGATCTTGCACTAATATTTATTTAGTTAATTGAAAATATCATGGCGTAATACAAATAGACACACTTTTATCATGTAATTACTACATTTCTAGTTTACTTTGGTTTAAAATAAATAACAAAACCAAATGATTATTTTTTAAAAGAATACAATATATAATAGTTATTAATTATTGTCCATCTGTGTTAATTTGTTTAAGTTCTACACATATTCCAATTCATTAACTCTATATTAAAAAAATGTAATTAATGTGGCTCAACTTGAAGCAACCCTTAAAGATTTTCCTTAACTACACCACTTATTCAGCCCAGCAGAAAATTAAAAATAAATAAACCTTTGATTCTTTTAATAATTATTCTTCTAATCATAGAAAGACAGGGGCAGCTCCAAGGGGGGCCTTAGGGGCCACAGCCTCCTCCCAAGCCCGTATTTATAAAAATGTATCTTTAAAAAAAAAATTCAAATAAAAAAAGCATATTATAATATCAATTATCGATTACTATATGTCACACACAAGATTGAGTTGTAGAGGTATGACAGTATATATATAAAGTATAGCATATATGATTTACCTATCTACATTATGAAGAACCTATAAGTCTATAAATAAAATACACTATATTATTATTTTATTATGTTATAATAATTATTATTATTTTATTATTTTGTTCAAAGCATAAATTGCGTAGCACACATTTCTGTATGGACTATGGGACTACTAACAATATTATCTTGATAAGAATTGTTATAATCTTATTCTATAAATAATCTTTTTGTTATAAAATTTTGTGAAATTATAACTTGGACCCCTCCTAACCAAAGACCTAGAGCCACCTCTGTAGGAAGATTAATTTATTTTATACCAAAATAAGTAATCATATTTATATTTTTATATCGAATTGAAGCAGCAAATTAAGCAAAAAATGTTGTGCTATGCAGTTCACTAAGCATTTTTTTTAGGATTATAAAGTAGAAGTTAAATACTCAAATGTTACACACATTTTTATATACCAAACACAAACATACATAAAAATTATAATTATTAATTTACAAGAATGTATTTTATTACATTGATAAAGGTGAAAAAATTACTTAATGAAGTTGAAAAATTACAATATAATAGGACATAATATACAATAAGGTGAAAAATTGATTTATTATTAGGTAACAATAAATAAATGAAAAATAAATAAATTAATAAAAAACCAACAAAATTAAACAATGATTCCGTGTTTTGAATACCAATTATATATTGGTCTATCATTCAATTAACTAAATAATACTAAATGTTATAAACAAAATAGGTTTTACAGTATCCAACATATTAAAAATTAACAGCAACAATATTAGATTTTCATAATAATTTTATATTTATTTAACAATTAAAATCATAATTTCTAATTTATAGTTCATATGTCATATAATTTTAACAATTAATATAAAATTTAAAATCTTTAGAATTATGTAAAATTATACATAATTTGTATAATTAATAATATGCAACATAAATTATTATTTTAAATACATTCATATCTAATCATAAAAAAATACCCTATTGATCCTTTAACTTTTTAATATAATAGTAGTAAATAGTATTTTAATTTTAGGAATTTTTTAGGCTTGACGATCTTGATTATTATTTCAAATAAATTATTGTTTCAATACCATAAATGATTGCTTTTATATTAGTGGACTATAATTGATACATTTTGGAAATTAAAATTTATTTTGAAATAACTTTGAAAATGGACAATATTGATATTACTGTACTAGTATTACTAGTATTTAACTACAAATCACTATTTTATATGTAATACATGTTATTCTATAGTATTTATTAATTACTTTTATCTAACAATATAAATTAGTCATGGTGAAAATTGATTTTTATTTTTAGAAATCCACATTATATAAGYACCTATTTGTTTTAAAACGGTTTTTATGAAGTCATAGCATACACTTAGGCGACTCAATTTTTTTTAATTAAACTTAATTTTGTAAAATAAATTTTTTTAAATGTATGCAATAAAAGTACCTATGACATAATTGTTTTATTTTTAAAATATATAATAAGTAGATTGAATGTCTTCTTTTAAATTTTAAATTATACTTATTGTTTTGACCATTTATGTAATTACGTAGGGTTAGAATTTATTAAAAAGTTTATTTAACAGTTAACATACATTTTTCTATGTTTTCTCCAAAAATTAATAAAAAATATTTATAATATTAAAAACCAATGAGTTAGCAACATTCCAGAAACTTACTATAATATTGATTTGCTTCGTACACAAATAGTATATTATTCTTACATGTATGATAGAGCAAGACACATGTTTACAAAATTACATATCTCTGGGGATTACCATTCTTATCATGGGCGTAGGTAGGAAATATTTTTGGAGGGGGTTTTGTCTAAATCTATATTAGTATGATAAAATTAAGAATCATTTATTTGTATGTATTAAATAATATAATTATAATTATAATTATTTATAATATAAATACAATATTTTGTCCATATAATTTACAAATTTAAAAAWATAAAAAAAATTATAAGATAAAACTTTGTTTTCTTGGTTAGGTTAGAGTGTTTTATTTAATTTCGGGGGGTGTTTGAACACCCAAACCCCCCCTTACCAACACCCATGATTCCTATCTTTTTAATACCCATTCCAATGACGAATATGTTTGGCTATGCCAATAATTTAGTAAATGTGGGTTTAATCAATATTAGAATATGCATTTTCAAAACTTCAGTTGGTTATTTTTTAATCAATAACAAAATAAATATCACCTAGGTACATAAGATTTTTATTCTTTCTCATAAACAAAAATGTCCAGCACAAAACATTTAAATTTGGAGAAAAAAATTTACACACAATAAGAACCTATTGTAAAAATATTTCAATAACTGAACAAAAACCTTTGAAATAGAAAAATTACTAATTATTGAGCTATGAGGGAAAGTTACAAAATATATGATAATCAAGTATACACATAGTTAGACAAAGAATATACATTTCAATAAATATTTGTACAAATACACTCATATAATACACATACATATATATTTTAATATGAAAAATATACACATAGTTAGAGATCAGCGGGTAATTTCTCAAGCTTTAAATGGTATGGTATATATATTTCATTAAATAGAAACTTTTCCCGCTAGTAAATATAATAAAAGGTACACTATGTGAATTATTTACAAAAACAGAACAATACTTAACAAATTAAAAAGTAGCCTACTTGAGTTTTGGAAATATAAAATGTGAATATCAAATATCATATTATGTTAACATTGTAAAAATTATGGGTATCAAAAATTTTAAAACATTTTATTAAATGTCTGCAGTCTGCTTTACCAACAAAATTTATCTCTTGATTATTCATAAATGGCAGTGCAAAATTTACTAATAAAAAAAAAAAACAAAATATCAATTACAATAAAGTAATGGTTGAAATTTAAATTTCTTAAGTAAAATGTACATTTAAAAATCATGTACAAACATTTTTAATAATATGGGGGGAAATACAGACAATTTGATACCAAGTTGATAATACATTAAATTAAGAAATAAAAATTTAAATTATAATTCACATTATTAACTCATTTGGTTAAATTAATAAGTTTTAAAAATAAACTCTTGAATAAAATATCATTTGTTACCTTATTATTGCCAGGAGCAAAATATATGAAAAATCATGTACTTTTTGGTTATCATACTCCAACGACTGGGAAATACCGATTCTGTTATTATACTCCGTGCTGTACGATAAAAAAATATTGCATGAAAAAAAAAATAATATTCTTTATTTTTATTAATAATTATGTTCCTATATATTACATAAACAGTAAAATATAAGTACCATAAATACAATTATTTATAAAAAATAAAGAATATCATTATTATTATTTTGTCATACAATGTTTTTTTTATCATATGGTATAGAGTATGATAATGGACCTGGTATTTTCTGGCCTACGCCGCCAGCCATTAGAGTGCAATAGCCGAAAAGTAACAAAAATCCATATAATTGAAAAACAATTGGCTTTAATCAAAATATAAGTATTTAACATTTAAATTTAAAATGATGACTACTAAAAAAGATAAATAAATACCCTACCAATTAATGTACAGAATATGACTTCTTAGAAATACATAATAATATGGTAAATAATAAATTGTGTATAAAAGAGATCAAACATCTTTTTAAGAATGCCCAACTTTGATATTAAAAATAGTTATTTTCCGTTTTATAAAACTACACTTTAGAAATACATGAATGCATTTAAAACAGTGGTTCCCAACCTCTCCTATTCTACGTCCCCCTTTGAAGATTTTCAAAAATCTCACACCCCCTCTTATAAATTGTAAAATATCGATCACCTTTTTTGGTGTAATTTACATGTAAGCTATCTATATTCTATATTCTATACAATATTCGGTATAGACAAGAATTATTAAACAGATAATGTGACATAAAACGATTAAGTTATACGCTGCGGCCAAACATTTATAGTCTTTATCGGTTATCTGTTATTGATATTCAATTAACAGATAAAGATTTCCGGTCAAATATTTTTTTTTTTAAAGTTTTAAAATAAAAATTGTAGTTCGTAATAACTACTTGCGTCTGCCCAGCAATATGTGCACGCTGCCCCCCCCCAGTTTGGGAACCAGTGATTTAAAACAATATTAACAATGAAAATAATAATGATTTACCTTGAAAAATTTAAAAGTAAAATTTATAAAAATAAAATAACTTTTCTACTATCATAAATAGTATCCATAAAAATTATCTTCAGATTGGTTGAAAATGTTATTTCAGACAGCATCATTGATCTAAAAATAATTAATATTCATTATTTACATTTATCTTACATAAATATTTAAAATGAATCCATTAAATTTTTTCTGTAATTAATAAATAATGTTAATTTATTTATTATTTAGTATAATATTTATTAATCCATATTCAAGAAAACTGATATAACATTTACTAGATTTTTAAATAAAATTTTTATATTTATTCTTAGTAAATTATTGTGTTTATAACATTTTAATCTAATTAAAATGTATGATTGTTATGAATATGAGTATGATGTTACAAATATATTTTATGAAAAATCTTTATTTTTTTTTAATAGTTTTTTGTTAGTTTTCATTAAAATAAGTATTCTTAAGTATACATTAGTAAACAAATAAGTAATTATATTTGACCCATTGATGAAACATATAATATTCCAATAAAATAGTTTAAAAATATTTACTATTAAGAGGACGCTACACCCGTATATTTTTTAAATATCAGAATTACAAAAAAAGTTATTCATGCTTAAAAAACACAAAATTAATATATTTTAAAACAATAAAAATTTTTTTTGTATAAGTGATATCGAAAAAATAAAAACGATATTGCACAGACAAAATTCTCCTTTTTATGTGGWGAAAATTTCGTTTCTTAGTTATAACTATATCTTTCTAGGTTCTTTCCCACGTGAAACAGTTTTTGCAATGTTACGCACTAGTAAGACGGAGACAACACTTGCGGGTGTAGCGTCCTTTTAAAAGTAAATATTTTAACCTAACCTAACCTAACAAAAGCGGGTGTATCGTCCTCTTAATAATTATTAATATATTTGATGTGTGAACTATTTAAACTAAGACATTTTGGATTTGATAACTTGTAATAACTAATAGTTATTGAAATAATGTGAATAAGAATACTAGTAAATAAACAAATTCCGTGTTTGTACTAATAATATCTATAATTCATAAAAGTTAAATGTCTACTTACCAGTACTTTTTCTTCTGTACAGCTTTCCATACTTCAACATATACTTTTTAATGTATTGTTCAACTTTATGCTTGACACTATCACTAATTCTTAAATCTTCTACCTTTTTAACTTGAAGTTCTTTGAATAAAATATTAGAATTAAGCTGTAAATGTCAAATTAATGTTTAAATAAATATATTAATTTTATATATAAATATTACCTTTTTAGCTAAATATTTGAAATCATCATCATTTTTTATACGCCCTTGTTTGCAACTCTTCTTCACATACAAGTCTAATACTTTAACAATAACTGTAGCCATAGCATGATAAAAGTCAATCACATACTTGATTTCTCTTTGATTGTCTGGCACGAGGTCAAGAACTTCAACAGGTAAAGACATCATACTTTCTGGTAGCTTACACTTACGTTTAGTTTCGTGTGTTTTCAATTGAGTACGTTCTATATAATCTCTCACAATAGGATCATCAACAAGATTTCCACGTATTATAGATTTCTTTTGACTAACAGAATTTTTGAAGTTCAATACAATTGGGTCAATTAGTTCACTATTGACTTCTGTTGATGGTGAAACATTAGTGGAATCCATATTTAAACTGGAAGCTAAAAGTTTAGCGTTTTTCTCCAGTTCAGTTATTGAAATGTTATCTACTTTATTGAATGGTAAACACTTCATTAAAGGTTTTTGTCTAACTTCATTCACATGTGTTTTTAATGAAGTAATATTTTTGATTAATTGATTTGATGGTTCTTCACTTAATTCATTTGGATTTATTTTTAATTGATCAATATCTAATTTTTSATAACTGGATGTACTAGGTCCTAATCTAAAATCATTTGCATCTTTTTTTAAGAAAGCAGTACTTGGTATTAATTTACTTGATGTACAAGGTTTCTGTTTAAATTCGTTTGGATTTGTATTTATCAATGTAATACTTGATGTTATAGGTTCCTGTGCTTGGCTGGTAACAGAATTATTAATACCTTGAAGGTTGTTTTTATTAATAATAGGAGGCATTGGTTTTTTAAAAACCGTAGTATCATTAGTTTTATTTATAATTGTAACTTGCTTTCTGGATTTATTATTATTTTTCACTGATAAATCAACTATTTTTCTATTTTTAGCGTTGAGCAAAGGTGGTAAAGGCATTTTTCTTTTAATTTGTTTTTTAACTTGTGGTATTTCTACACTGTTTCCTGATAAAACGGAATTTTCTTTTAATAAATTAACTGATTCTGGAATCCTCGTTTCATCATATTGCATGACTATTTTTTGTTTGTACACGTTTATGACGTCTTTACCAACTCCCCTATTTAATTTGGCACACAAGATATTTTTCACTGAAGGATTTAATTTGTAGTGTAGTTCTATTTCATTTGAAGGATTGTGAGTTATTATCTTGGTATCTGATGGGAATTGGAGAATAAAAGATTTGGGCATGGTTGAATTATGTTTTATCAAACCATTTAAAATTTTAAATGCAAATTTATTTTTTGTTATTACTTTAAATGATTTCTTATTAAACATCTTATTTAAGTTGAGTGTTTCAGGAACAGTACTTAATTGTTCATTATGTAACATTAAAGCTACTGATGCTGTATCAGTTATTTCAGTCTTTTGATCGTCCTTAATTCTAAAAATGTCATTTTTACTTTTCTGGGTATTCAATTTCACTAAATTATTTATTTCAATTATTTTAGATGGCTGTTTTCGATAACAATTACTAACTACTTTAATGCGTTTGATTAAGTTTGGCAAAACATATTGATTTTGATTATTTTCAGGTGTCACATTTGTTGAAAACGCTTGTTTTTTATTAAAAAATGATTGAAGTATTTTAATTGGGGAATGATCTACATAATTTTGTCTTGCTGTTTTATTAACATTCAATATTCCTTTGTCAATTAATTTTTGCACATTTTCTTTACATTGTTTGAATAATTGTTTAMGTATATTTTCATCTAATGGCTGTACTGCTTTGTAGTTTTTATTAAATTCTGTGTTTTCTGCATTAGTAATTGGTTTATCTGATTGAGTTTTAGTTGGTTTTTTTAGTGATATGTCAACTGGTAGGAAAGCCAGTTGTTCTTGAATGCTTGGATGTTGAGCATCATACATCACATTTTCCGGACGCATTATACACCAATTAGTATTATCATTAGAAAATAAACATTGGCTAGTTTCATCAGATGTATTTGAAATAAAATCATTCGGTAAACATGGAGGAACTGTTTTTAACATAGAATGTAGAGTAGATTCATTACAAAGATCGACAATAGTTGGAGGTGGCAAATTCCATGTTTGGTTTGTGGTTATAATTTCTTCGATAGGGTAATATACAATTGTTTCAGTATTAAATACTTTGGTACTTTGTGTACAAGAAGTATTAATTTTTTCAGTAGAATCAGCTAGATCACAAACTGCTGGGTGATCTGTAAAAATTAATTTAATTAAAAATTAAAAATTATATAAGATAGTATCCAATCAATTCCAAATTTAATACATTATTATTAACATATTTTTATAATAAAGTACAAATAGAAAAAACATGAMATAGTTGGAAACCTAAGACTCAACATAAAAGCATTTGGGTATGCCATTATAATAGGAATGATGAACAAAGTCATATTAAAGATAAGTAATAAATCTTGAATTTTAGACTTTGAAGGTAGTTTTTAGAAGCGAATTGGATTTAGTAGGAACTTTGAAAAGTTCAAAAATAGTCTTTTTGGTTTAATAACTAGAAAAATGGAATACCAACAAAAATGCAAGATAATATTTACAAAACAAGTTTTTGTTATTATTTTAACGACCGTAGATATTTTTTATCTAATATTAATACTTAGCTATTAGCATTTTCTAGATATATTGTTTTCAAAATATTTTGGCTCCTTTGTGCTATCTATAAATACTTAAAAATATAATGAAAGTAAGGTTACTTATAAGTTGTCCTTATTGCAATTTAAAAACATATATGAGCATAACTTTTTTTTTATTAGAGTTTAAAGTTTATAATTGCTTATTGTTCTGAGTTATAATTCCTTAAAATTTTTAAACCTAACATGTAAAGTTTAAAATGTAATACAATATTGCTAAAAAATTCCTAAAATATTTTTGCCTTTAAATAGTAAAATTATGTTGAAATTATAATACATACAAAGTTATTACATAATGCTGCAAAGGATAGAATAATTATAAAGGTAGGCCAGTGAAATAAATATTAAAGAATTATAATGAGTTCTGAAAACTGCATAACTTTAATCAAAGAATAATGATTTTTATTTAATCAATTACTATTATTAACTGAACAAAACTGATTATCAGAATAACTATTATTATACTATTAACACTTAACCATCCAAAAATTATAAAAAAAAATTATCTTTTTCAATAAACATAATATAATATTCAATAAGAATAAAATTAGAAGATATGAGTCAATCTTTATTTTGGGAATAACATATGAATATGAAATTAAATAATATTCATTTAAATACTAAATTTTTAAGGAAAATGTTCAAATGTTTCTTACTTTCAGTGATGCCGCTCCATTTTATATTCTTACTAAGTGTGCTGCTTTCAATCGTTGGAATATCTTGGTGAATAATTCTTGATTTAAACGTAGATGTTGATCTTTGCTTTGGATTTAAAACCGAATTAATTGAATGATTTACCATGGCAGGAGTAATAATTTTATTTGTTTTAAAAGGTAAATAATTCCAATGTTTTTTATTCCATTCAAAAACAGTTTTGTTTCTATTAAAATGAGTTCATACATACAAATTAGCATAAATAAATCACAATAATAGTAAACATTATAATATATACTTAAATACTAATGCTTACTTGTCTCGATTAATTTTCTGATTGGGAAGATTTATTATTTTGTTTAATACATCCACAGAATTGGTTTGACTATTACCTTGGCTTTGCACACTACTAAAATTAATTTAACATGAAAAGTGTGTTTTAAAGGCAAATTTAAACAAATATATTAATCCGGTCATTTTTTATTGTAATACAAGAGGAATGAATAACATTTAACTTTGTGAGCATACTATTTAATTTGTCACGAATGCTTTTAAACCTACCTTATTTTAGAAGATTGATTAGAAACTATTGAATTTCCAATATGATATGGAACAGAATCTCTGAAATGATTATTTTAATAACATTAAAAGAACACTTAAAAAATGAATTTTATTAAAATTCTTACGTTTGTGGTTGTATTGGCGGTTGGATAACTTCATCAGGAATATTCACTAAAATCAAAATTATTAAATCACAATTTATTTATAAACTTTAACTTATAAATTATAATATTATATTAAGTATATTAATTATAATCCTATTTCCCAAGCTTATTTTCCTCACCAGTTATAAACAGTTGTGGTACATTTTTCGTACAAATTTGGTATTTTTMAACAATTACTTTTATATTTAACAAAAACAATTGTTAAACATTAATGAAATACTTAAAAAAAAAATTGGAATAGATAAAAGTAGAATATAACTTAGTCCACATGTTTATTTCCTAAATAGTTAAATCTCAATAAGACATTACACCCACATACATTGTCTCTGTCTTATAAACGTACAATTTTGCAAATTTTACATTCACAATAATCTATTTTACTTTGTAGTTTCTAAAATTAGTGAAACAACCATTCATAAAATTTAGAGGTAAGAATTATATAGGGCATTTCATAGGCAATTTAAAATTAAAAATTGTTTTGTAAAACTTAAAATACTCATAGATAGAGTATTTTTTTATAGGAATTATTAAAAAAAAAAACTCTTGTTGCTTACATTTTATCATCACACTCTTTGTGAAACACTGATATTACATACATAATATGTATTGTATTTATTACTACAAATGTATTAGTAATTTTTGAGTTACAATTTAATGTACCTAAATATTTAAACTCTATACTAACAAAACTTATAGATTATCCATATCACATAAAACAAATACAATATATCTATTAAAATTATATGATAAAATATAACATAATTTCAATATTAAAGCTAATATTTGAAATAACTATATTATAGTTAAATACTATATTATAAATATACTATTTCAAACTTAAAATGTTTTGATAAAAATTAATTTAGAATTAAATAGTAAGTTTATGATAACCATCTAACCATATAAAAAAACAAAAATGATATGAACTTTACTAACTCAGTTTCAATTTTTAATACCACTGTAGCAGTCAGTAATGTACAATATAGAATAGTATAACATTTTTATGTGATATACCTTCTTCTTTAGGACGATCCAATTTTGGTATTTTAAAAACAATTTTTAGAATTATCCATTTCTTCCATAAAATTCTTGCTGCTTGAACTAATGGTGATAAATTTTCTATATCTGGTAATAATTTATCAATTTCTTGCTCATGTTCCTTAATTTGTGATATTGGATACTCTAAACTAAAAACAAAAAKTATCAAGATAAAATATATTTCTCACATATTCAACTAAGGCTATAATAATCAAATAGTATTTAAAAATAAATGTCATGTACTTATATAAAACAAAATGTATTACAGTATAATTATAACCATTGCATACAGGGTGATTTTTTTATCATAAACCACTCATTATTTCAAAAAGTATCAATGTTTTTGAAAATATTTTTTTACAAAGTTTCATGTTGTTAAAAAAAAGTTTTTATTAAAGAAATATAGTTTAAATACTTTAAAAAAGTATTTAAAGTATAGATTGGCAGAGCGGAGTGGTACGGGGTTACCCCGCCAAATGTTTGCCCACTACTCCGGCTTGTCTAAACTTAAAATACTTATAACTCATAAACTACTAATCCAAAATTTGATTTTTACGTATCAAAATACTTAGAAAAATATTCTGCTTTGGAATATTAAATTAAAACTCTATATTGTCATTCAAAAAAGTAAAAACTTAAAAAATTATAAGGATAAAAAATATTTTACGATAGATAAAATATAAGGATAAAAAATATTAAAAAATATATTTTTTTWAATAAAAACGTCGTTTTTTTAACAACATAAAACTTTGTAAACAAAATATTTTCAAAAACATTGATACTTTTTGAAATAATGAGTGGGTCATGAAAAAAATCACCCTGTATAATAACATTTAATTAAGGATGGGCCGGTTCCAGTTTTTAGTTCTTTGGTTTTATCGGTTCGTTTATAATTTTTTATTGGTACTGGTTCTTTTTTTCTTGGTTCACACTGTTTGTTGATACTGAGATAAGTTACTTATAACTAATTATTATTCTGATTTAATTAATAACAATTTAAATTCTTTAAAAATTATGGTATTATATAGTATACTAATTAATTACTATTCTTAATTTTAAGATATTTTTTGTTTTTAAAAAAACTTGTATCGAGAACCGAAGTGGAATATTTTGGAACCAGACAAGAACCGAAGTCGAAAACTTTCTAAGAACCGACCCATTCCTAGTTATAATTACTTTTCGATAACTTCTTTTATGTGTAATGGGATATTAGCCCACTGAGCAACAATATCTAAAACTTTTGATTTTGTTATTGTATTTCTGTTAGAAATTGGAAGATCTGAAAGTGTTTTAACAATCTGAAATACAAAATAATATTATGTTTAGAACACACTTAATAGTATTATTTATATGTCAATAAAACTATTTACTTCTAATTTCAAGCTTTCGTTGTTATTTGAAATCATCCAACTATGGATTATATTCAATCCATTAAAATTCATAAATAACCTCTTACAGTTTAAATCATTATCTCGAATAAATTTCAAAATATGTGACCTACTCATTGAATCTGTGATATGAACCATTAACTTATTTAAATTTAATGTTGAGCTCTCCAAGTCTGAGCGGTTTTTATTTTTTAATTTACTGATATCTGTTAACTGTTGATCGAGCTAAAAAAAAAAATAAAAAATAAAATTTATTTTCATAATATTTTAACAGGAGTATGATTCTAACCTGTCTTAAACGTTTTCTATCTTTATTAGATATTTTCTTAATTTTCTTTTTTCTTTTTTCCTGAGAAACATCTGGTTTAACAACTAATGAGTCATCTTCATTTTCATCGCTTTCCTCAGAACTGCTCTGATCGCCTGTTCTAGATTTTTTGCTAATGAATCCACGACATTTTGGTGTACCACAATAACACTTTTGTTGTGCAGCATCTCTAGATAATATTAATAAAGATAATAGTTAATATAAATTAGAGATGGAAAAAAATAACAATACCCAAATATTTCAAAACTGTAATCAAAAGTAATTTCTTCTCCTTTTTGTATTGGTTGTTTACTAAAAAACCCCATTCGAGATTCACCCAACACATTCCACTGAAATTATATTAACAAAATGAATTATTTTCTGTATGTTTATTAGAATAGTAAGGGTATACTTTTTCTGCAACACAGTTTGGTTCACAGCTGTGGTTTATGAATCTTGTAATGTTTCCTTTCCGGGTAGCATCAATTATTTCATCATGTTTCAATTGCACCATATAATTGTTATTTTTATACAATATTTTTTTCATTCGTTTTATCATTTCATTTTGATCTATAACTTCTCCCATATATTCATCAACAAATGTTCCACTATACAAAATATTAAATACAATTATATACCAATTTATAACTATTAATAAAAATCAACATTTTGCAAGAAGAAGCAAAAAAAATTTATAATTTGTAATAAAATACAGTGAAATTTGTATAAATTGTTTATAAATTTTTATTTAAAATTGATTTTCCCTTTCATTGATATGAATAAAAATATCAATAACATAATTAAAAGTTAATAGGTACTATTGAATGATTAGTTGAACAGTACTTAAATTAAAATATATTATTTATATTATATTGTATTAAGATTTCAGATTTTATATTTTGAAACATACACCAGGTGGGGGACAATTACATCTTGTCACTACAATACTACTGTTTATTAGCGTTGGAATTCATCAAGGAACAAAGTTTGGAATAATATATTATATTAAGAGAATATTGTGCTTGAATTTACTATTTTCGATTTTAGCACAGCACATCACAAATTTTACATATTAATATTTTATTTATTTTACTCTGTTATAAATTCAATATTACAGTTTACTGACCAACTTTGAAGGATACTAAACAATGGCTCACATAATTTTTAATATTTTTATTTTTAAGAAACTTAAAGCATTTCAAAATTTAACTTTTTTGTGGATAAATATGGGTTCAAATAATATTTTGACCTTTAAATTTAAGAATAGCTCAATTTTACACTAATATTAAAAATAATAGGGTAAAATGGATTCTTCTCAATGTTAGGTAAAAAAATTTGGTATATTAGCGTTGAGAAGGAGAACAGATGATCAAGTAATTAAAATGTTCTAAAAGTAATAAAATATTTATCTAATAAAATTGTATGTTACTATAGAATTTATTACCTTGGGATATCTTCAAGCGCAAAAACACCATATCCTTTATCTGCAGTTTTGACAATTTTAGTACGTTTGAATTGTTTATTTTGAAATTGCTTGTTTGTACATAATGACTTCAAAACACATGCTTTTCCACTTTTAAAATAAGATAATTATTTTTAAAATTAAAATATCAACTTATTAAAAATAATATTGATTTAATTTACCATTCAATATTCAATAAACGATTTAAACACTCTGTAGCACACCCAGGTTTTTTTTCAATCCAGTCTTTTCTTGTATATTTACAATGACATTTGTAAGTATCAGAATTTATAATTCTCCTAAAAATTAAAGTAATTAGTAAAGACTGTAATGAAAATTTTAGCACATCCAAAGTAATTAAAAACTTTCTTATACTAAACATACGAGTACAACAATTTCAAAATCAATCAAAAACCTTCACAATATGTTAATATAATATCAAATACCAGCTGTCAGAAATTTCAATTAGTATTAAAAAAAAAGATATATTAGTTACCTTGGTTTTAGTCTCCGTAACTCTTGTGCTTCTGCTGGTGTATACTCACCCATTTTTTTCCTAAAAATGTTTAATTGATATTAATGTAGGCAACATACATATTATGATGGAATAATTTTTAATAATTGAAAATTATAGATAACAAATTATAAAATACTATTTGACTATCGTTTAAAATTATATATATATATATATATTGCTTACCTATGGGGCCTGAACAAATTGTTAGTTATTAAAGTGAAGTTCAATCTTTTTAATTTTTTATCTAACTCTGGATCATTTGCTCTAGCTTCTGCTAAATGTATTTCATTGTCTCTTCGTATTTCATCAGCTAACAGTAAAGAGTCAATTTTTGAATTTTTAGATGATAATAAATATTCTTCCTCTAACATATCAGAATCCTTAATTTTTGTATTTAATCGTTTAGATCGTCTAATCTTGCCTTCAGATTCCTCTTGATCACTTTCAGAATTTTTTGAATCGCTTATGTTTCGGGATATTTGGAATGATGGCATATCATTTGTAGAACAAAATATATTTAAATCATCTAAGCTTTCAAACATATAGTCGGTTTTTTCTTTTGGTTGTTCATATTGCTGTATGGACCCACTATTTTCAAGGTAACAATATTCACATCTATCAGAATCTCTATGATCCTCTGAATTACATACATTTCCTGACATATAGTTGGTTTTTTCTTCTGGTTCTTTATATTGCTGTATAAGCTCACCATTTTCACATCTTTCAGAACCAGAATTTGAATTGGAATACAAATCCGATTGCAATTCATCACTTTCTTCTGATTCACTGTCATATTCACATTCTTGAACTAAAAATCTCCAGATAACTGTGTCTAAATATAAACAGTTGGGAAAACTTCTGCTACGTTTCAATTTTGATCTGAATTTTTTAACCAATTCATCTTTTATGATTCTTTCAATCTCTATATTTGGTCCACGTTCTATATAAGAAATACTTTTCCAAGATTTTAGTAACTTTAAATCGTCAAACATTTTTTTTGATGTTTTTGAAGCGTTGAATACAAAATTTTCAGTAAGAGAATTTCTTCGTTTTTTTATTTTAGTGGACTCATTAACACTGTTTGATCTAAACCGTTTAGTTACTAGATTCCAATCTACATTTTCAAATTCATCTTGTTCACTTTCACTTAAAAACTTGTTGGTTTTAATTCTTGTATCAGAAACACAATCAATTTTATCTTGTACATTTGACTTACCACATTCTTCTAAAAAACTAACAGATGTAGTGTTTTCTTGTACAATTGAATCATTGCATTTTATTAAAAAATTCATAGATGTAGTGTTTTCTTGTAAATTTGAGTTATCACATTCTTCTAAAAAATTAACAGATGTAATGTTTTTTTGTAAATTTGAGTTATCACATTCTTCTAAAAAATTAACAGATGCAATGGTTTTTTGTACATTTAAATTATTACATTCTTCTGAAAAATTAATAGATGAAGAGTTTTTTTGTACATTTGAGTTATCACATCCAGTTAAAAAATGTATGCGTTTGGTGTTTTCTAGATCAATTAATTTATCACATCTTTCTAAAGAAACCAACGCTGATTTTTTTGTTTCATTAAATCGTGATAAACTTATACACTTAAAATCATTACCATTGCCTGGAAATAACATGATTGGTGAAAATGATCTTTCCCCAGATTCAGAACTGTTTTCATTTACTTCTGTTGAATTAGAACTTGGAAAATGGTTATTTAATTTTTTAGTTAAAGATTTTATTGCTTTACTTGAAGACAAATTTTGCGATTTAGAATCATTAGTGTCTTCATTTTCAAATTTATCACTTTTCAATCTTGTAGCGCGCTGCTCCTTTATAACAGCAGAACCTTGTTTCATTCTTGTTCGTTTTTTTGTTGGAGCTGAATTTGACACAATTGGTGATATTTGAATATTAGTTGATGTTGTTTCATTTTTTCTAGGTCTGCCTCGACCTCTTTTTATAACTTTTGGTTCATCTGTAGTTTTAGGTTCAATATCAGCAACTGAATGTATATTAACTGGATCTTGATTACCAGTATTTGAAATGATTGATGTATTATTGGTAATATTATTAGTTGTTTTTTTTGGTCGACCCCTTTTTCTTTTTACTTGTATTAAATTATCATCAAATTTGTGTACGACAACAGAACACCGACTTTCATAGTTCAAATTAGGATCAGATTTTTTATTGGTTTTACTAGTGTCATTTGTATGTTCATCATTTTGATTAATAATACCATTTGCAGGTGAAACGTCCATTGTAAATATTTCATTGATTTTTTCAGATTTAGATAAATTAGTTACAGGAAGAGTATTTTTATTTGTTGAATTTTCTAAGGCTAATTCCATTTGACTTGTACGGGTCCATTGGGATTTAACTTTCACTGGTTTGTTATAATCATCAATTTTTGGTACAAAATTAATTAAATTAACAGTAGAAAAATTGTGTAATTTATAAGTTGAAGTTATGTTCTTATCAGGTGTGTGAGTTGTAGTTAAATAGTCTTTAAGTCTTTGTTTTCTAGATGGTAGACTTAATTTAGAATCAGTATTAGAATTGTTTTCATCTATTAATTCTATTCCAGAAGATGAATTTATTTTATTTGATGGTTTTTCCACTTGCTTGTTATTGTGTATCATTAAATCATATTTTGTGTGAGATTCATCCATATTAGCTCATAGATAAATCCTAAAACAAATAAAAATAACAAATTAGATAGATGTTTAAAACATAATATACTAATATAATAAACTTATAAATCAACAATTAATTAATCATCAATAATAATAATAAATAATAATAATAATAACAACAATGTCTACAGCACCATGTAAACAGAATGTATGGGCAATTATTTAATTAAGTAATCACTACTTTTTTTTATATTTAAGCCATTGATTTTTAACTTTTATAAAATGCCTCTATTTACCTAACTCAAAAAGAAACAAAATATTTTGAAAATATTATCATAATTGCGATTTCTAAAAAATGCCAATTTCACACATTTAAATGTGTTTGTCAGTCTAGGATATATTATACTATATTACATGGATTTAATCAGCAAAGCCATTGCTTTGAAAATATGCAACAAAATATGCAAGAAAAAATTATAAAATATACATGAAAAAATGTGAAATATGCAAAAAAAATGTATTTATTTACCTATTAAAAGTGTGTTACTTATTTATTAATATACACAAAAAAAAAAAAATAAAGACGTATAATTAAAACTCTTATATAAGTTGTATATAAAAAATTTAAAATATGGCGCGTTACCGGTTGACGTTTGAGATTTTATTGAACTGAAAGAATAGTTAAATAAATATATTTTCATTATTTGTGAAATACGAAATAAATATATGTTGAATAATACCTGTTAAGTTGTTTTTCATTTTACTAGCGTTGTGTTATGTAACATTATTTAATATAAATTGGTTAAGAATGAAAAAAAATTTAATTTTTGTAGAAAATATTAAATATGCGAAAATCAATGACAATTGACAAAATATGCACTTTTTCTCTAAAATTATTGGAATATGTAAAATATGCTTTTTTAATTTTCAATTTTTAAGCTCAACATTGTATAGCTCAGATTTCTAGCTTGGTCTGCTATAATTCGACAGCATACAGATCAATATGCAACTCCTATAACTTCCGAACCCTACTTATAAGTAACAAGCATGGCTCAAAAATCCATGAATTTGAATACTTTCTGAGGAATCAGTATATTAAAAATTTGATGTAACACAAAATTATTTTATAATACTTACAACTTAAATCCAAAAATGTAAGTTTAAATTTTAAAAATTTGAGTGATTTTGCATATTATTTAACTATATTAGGAAAATATTGATGCATACTTTATTAATAAATCATAACAATAAAAATAAACAAGTTTAAAAATAAATACCCTTCACAGGCACTTTTGTGGTCATTAGATACACCTAATTATTATTTTAATCTGTATATTTTTTCATATTATAGTTTTGAGAATTTGAATAATTATGCATTATTTAATGTTTATTTACAGATTTATTTAGCGTTGTGTTATGTAACATTATTTAAAATAAATTGGTTAAGAATGAAAAAAAATTTAATTTTTGTAGAAAATATTAAATATGCGAAAATCAATGACAATTGACAAAATATGCACTTTTTCTCTAAAATTATTGGAATATGTAAAATATGCTTTTTTAATTTTCAATTTTTAAGCTCAACATTGTATAGCTCAGATTTCTAGCTTGGTCTGCTATAATTCGACAGCATACAGATCAATATGCAACTCCTATAACTTCCGAACCCTACTTATAAGTAACAAGCATGGCTCAAAAATCCATGAATTTGAATACTTTCTGAGGAATCAGTATATTAAAAATTTGATGTAACACAAAATTATTTTATAATACTTACAACTTAAATCCAAAAATGTAAGTTTAAATTTTAAAAATTTGAGTGATTTTGCATATTATTTAACTATATTAGGAAAATATTGATGCATACTTTATTAATAAATCATAACAATAAAAATAAACAAGTTTAAAAATAAATACCCTTCACAGGCACTTTTGTGGTCATTAGATACACCTAATTATTATTTTAATCTGTATATTTTTTCATATTATAGTTTTGAGAATTTGAATAATTATGCATTATTTAATGTTTATTTACAGATTTATTTACATACAAACTTTTAACTGAAAAAAAAATTAAAATTATTTAAGAATTTCCTGAGGAATGAAATATGTTTCATTTTTTTAGTGCATAGACTTCAAAGCTCTGCTCAAAAGTAATATTATCATGTGGGAGATAGGGATAGAATCGAGATAGAATACATTATTGTAATCTGTAATGAAATGAAACTCTACATGTAGTATACAGTAGTATAACTATTGGGTATAGGGTTAAATCTCCCCCATTTTTTTTAAATAAATAAAAATTAATGGAAAATAGTTAATTATTATTATAGCTTAAAACTGATAAAAACTTACAACTTATTATTCCTGATATCATTTTTAACCACCTAAAATGTATACCTTTTTAGTTACAAACACAAAATAAATTAAAACAGTTAATATTGTTTTATATAAATATGGTATACTTAAATGATAATATACATTTTAAAGGATAATAAAAAAGTTTACAGACAAAACTGAACTTTTGAACTTGGTTATTTAATATGTAATTTCATCCAAATTCATTTTTAGAAGAAAATATACAATATATACATAAATTTGAGGAAAGAAGCCACCCACTGATGACACTTTTGTTTTAGTTTAATATTATGTGATTTAGTTATATTTTAGTATTTATATTATATATTTAGTTATATCACTGTCAATTATAAAAACAAAAAGTTAAAAGGTCAAAAATTTCAAATGTCAATAAATAACTTAAAAGATTTGAAAATTTTATTAAGTATGGAAAATGCCAGTATAAACATTCAGTGAATATGTGTCTATGGTAATTTGTTTTAGAGTTACATCAATATCTAAAATTGATTTAGATTATTGTTATTATTATTATTATGTAGACTATCCATTATCTTCTATCAACAATATTAGTTTAAATTATTGGCCTAGTTGATACCCGCCAAGAGAGTATTCTTCTGCTACTTATATCTATTGAATTTTAAACGTTCTAATCATTTGTTATAAAATGTTCATATTGTAGATAAAAAAGATACGAAAATTATATATGTTGGGTATACTAGTGAAAATCACTTATTGGTTTTTTTTATGAATATGTTTGATAAAATGAATCATATAAGATAGGTATAACTGTAAGTATCGTATATTCAAACCGGAATAACGGGAAAATTCTTTTTCACAACCCTCAACTAAACCAATACCTAGTTTATCAAGCATAATAAAGCTTTTTCTCTATAAAACAAGCTTAAGAGGACGCTACACCCGCATGTATTGTCTCCGTCTTACAAGTGCGTAACATTGCAAAAACTGTTTCGCGCGGGAAAGAACCGAGAAGGCTACAGCTATAACTAAGAAACGAAATTTTCACCACATAATAAGGAGAACATTTACTGTGCAACGTTGTTTTCAATTTTTCGATATCACAAATAGAAAAAAAGTTCTTATTGTTTCAAAATTCATTATTTTTGCATTTTTCAAAATCGAATAACTTTTTTTTCAGTTCAAATATCAAAAAAATAAAAACAACGTTGCACAGTCGAAATTCCCTTTTAGCTGTGGTGAGAATTTCGTTTTTTAGTTATGACTGTAGCCTTCTCGGTTCTTTCCCGCACGAAACAGTTTTTGCAATGTTACGTACTTGTAAGACGGAGACAACACATGCGGGTGTAGCGTCCTCTTAATATAATTATTATACAATAAAAACAATTTATTGATCATTACCTATATAGTAATATTTGTATAAGCTAAATTTTAAATAAATACATTAGAATGATGATCTTTAAATACTTTACAATATACTGATAATTCATAATAATTAAATTAAATATTACATTTTTCATAGTTTTTAATAGTTTGTATGTTCAATACACCTATTAGCCTAAATAGGTATTATCTCGGGTATTATGAAATATTTAAAAACTATGTAGGTACAATCGAACAAACATGAACTTATATATAAATAAAAATAAATAAAAAAGATCAATTAAAGATGACTAGGTATTGAAGATAATTGTTTAACTATTGACAACTATTACCTACTTTTAGTAATTGATTAATAATTATTAATTTTTAACTGGTATAGGTTATGCATTTCATAATATATAAATATGTAATTACTTATAAATTATAACTAAGGTAATACCAAAAACTTGAATTGCGGAAAAAATGGCCACGGAAAAAAACCCACGGAGAAAAAACTAAACTAAAAAATACACCCCGGAAAAAAAGCCCAAAAAATATATTATATATAATATATTTACATTTATTTATAGATACAATATATTTTAAATAATATACATAGTAGGTATTTAATTAATTTTTTTTTAACTTTTTACCTTCAGTTAAATGTTGTATTGTTTTAACTTAGCTTTTTATAGTTAATTATCATTATTGTACAGTTAAGTTAATTTACAAGTAAATCATGTGATTTGAGTAGTTAAAGGTAAYACCAGCGTGTAGCTGAAATGCTGAATTAACTTTACAGTTCAACCTAAATAAGTTATATTTAAAATAGCTATAATGTCAAAATCATTTTGTATTAAATATTGATTCTAATAATTGTATTAATAAATGAGTTAAATTAATCCAAGCAAATGATTATTAATTAACCCTTAATAAGTGTTTTGTTGTTAATTCACCACTAGATTTGTACGTGTGATAGTTAACAATACAATCTATATTATTATGTTACCACAAGTCCAGAAACGTAAATATTTTATATTTTTAATATTTTAATTCTTATGTTCTGTTAAAAATGTATTATTCTATCACAGAAATAAAAATATTATATGATTGTAAATCCATTGTATAAAATATTACAATTTACAATGATTGCACTTTTATTTTCTCGGGCTTTTTTTGCCGGGGTGTATTTTTCAGTTTGGGTTTTTTTTCCGTGACCATTTTTTCCGCCTACCCAAAAACTTATTATATGTCCACATATAAACAAAAATTAATGCCCTTATTTTTGCTGAGCACAAATTTGCTGTTGCACTTACAAAGAAAACAAATGTCAGTGTTACATTTTCTTAAGCTCAGAAACTACTAAGCCTTTTCGACTAACAGTTTTCTTAAGACTTCAGAGGTAGTTAGAACTTATTTTTTTCAAATCCTTATTGCATTAGGATAGCTCACAGAAGAATTTCGTTTTGGCTAACGAAAGTTGAATAATTTTTATTTTATAATTAGAGTTACAATTGGCTAAAATATTAAGAATACAATAAAAAAATTGTATTGTTTAAATTAAACCTACTATGCAACAATTTTTTTAATAAAATAAAATAAGTAATAATATTTAATTTATTGTTTTTTAATCAAATGTACTACAAAGGTAATGTTCTTATGTGTGTAATTTAAAGACTCAAGAACTAGTCAACTGGTTAAGTCTTAAATTTCAGAATTTGAGAGTAAATTTAGACAGGGATTTAGACAGTAGTTGTAACCATGTTAACATATTATACATCATGTGCTATAGTCAATCTAAAATTTTCAAATTGCCGTTAAAACATGCTGTTCTCAAAACGAGGTAAACCAATGTCAATTTAAATATGGACTAAGGTACACAAAACCGAGATACATTGATATTGTACATAATATTTTATGCTCGATTTTATGTTAGTTCATTTATCCCCAGGCAAACTGTTAATTGAATTCTTGTAGGTAGGTAAGCACATTTGATTGTAATAAAAATTTGATTGATGTTTGGAAATATTATTTTTGGATATTATGAGTATTTACTGTAGGAGAAAAATAACAATAATTGCATCATAGATTGCATCAAATATGCTATTCATTTAATAAGGTATGTTTATACAACTTGTAAGTTCTTTTTTCAACAACCCACCATTTATAAAACTCAGATATGCTAAGATGTTAAAAATTTTTAAGTTTGTTGATTGAAAACAGTGGTATCAGAGTCTAAAATGAGTCGATAAAGTATTTTTCATTGAGTTTGGGGGACAAAAATTAAGTAAGATCATTTGAAGTCTAGTATGTTGTCAGAACGATTACATTATTAAGAAAACACTATTTGGTATGCATAATATAATAGGGCTGTTGTACTAATGATAACTAACTGATTACAGATGTATACCTACAACAAATAAATTAAATACAACAATGACAAACTGATAAAGACTACGAAGAGACCAAATAATGGTAATATTTTGTATGAATGTTGCAACAATATCTATTATGGGCTTGACATTATTCTTGGCCATTCTGAAAATATCAAACATGTAGACGGACAACAAAGATAAGACTACTACATTGGGCTGTACATAGTAGGTGTGAATGAGTTACGAGTAAACACTAAATTGGGCACTACTGTAGACATGTCGAGATGGTTCTTCATACAACAAACATTGACAATAGCAATTTATCGACCCTGCAGGTCGACAGCAATCAAATACTATAACAGTAGGTATACAGTACAGCAGGTCAGCTAATAATATAAAAATATAATCGTCAACGTACAGCATGAACAACTAACAACGGGTAATGCAATCACAACTACAGATAAAATCTACCTGCTTCTTAAATACAAAACACGGTAGGCAATCACCTGAATTCCTATGGGTCCGAGAAATGACGCATCGCCGCCGGTGCTCAGATCGAAAGTTGCCATCGCTACTGCCGATGTACGAATGAACGTTACGTTGAAGTGTAGGATAATTGTCCACGGAGACGTTACACGGACAACGATACTGGTGTTTCAGGGGTAATTCAGTGTTGGAGAGCAAAGCGCACGCGAAGCCAGACAATGATGGATTGCACAGTGGAACTGAGGAAGAGTGCGGGCCAGTGACAACGGGTGTCGACGATATTTACGCCGTGTCGCCGCCGCGGATCGAAACGACCGTCTGTATACGCGAACGACTGATAACGTTCCAACGCCGACGGTACAAATGTACGATTTTTAATGGTAGGTTGAAGCGCGCGACGGCGGTGCGTAGTAAATGTAGTAAAGGTCCGAACACTGAACGTAGTGCGTGCCGCGTGCGTGAGTGTGTGCCGAGAGCATGCGCAACGCCACCCGCCAACATAAACTACTACTGCAGCGTGTTACCCGGTTACTGTGCTACCGCCTACCTAAGTGTATTTGTCGTATCATTAATTTAGTTTGTTGTACCACCAATCCCCTTCACATAAAAAAGACAACAATAATATTATTCAAAGGAAGATAACATCTGAGTGTATCGATACGTATCGATTCGTATCGATTTGTAACGTGTGGACGATGGCCGGCATTTGATACAAATTATTGTGTGAAAATTCTTTAACGGATGTATTGTATTAATGTACTATAATCATTTGGCGATCTAAATAATTATTTAAATAAAATATGATTACTATTAAGTGTTGTTAGGTTTTTACCCGATTTAAAAAATGTAACCCACGAGGCCATGATACAGAAAACTATAAGAAATAAAATACCTAGGTTAGCTACCTTTGTATCTAAGTTTTTAAAATGTGACATTGGAATCCTCAAAGTGGTTTTTATTGAATTTAAAATAGTTAAGCATAATTTTATATTGTTTAGTTAAGAGACTGAATATTGAATTTAGTCAATAATGCTTACTATTCAAGACTTAAAACAACAAATAAATAACAATTACCAAATTGTTTAGTAACAATATTTATGTACTTATTGTTGAGCCTAATTAAAACAACTTTAATCAAATACATTTCCCACTATTAAAATTTTACTTATAAATAGAACAACATTTACATAATTTTTTCAACTGACTTTATCATATGCTTAAAAAGTACTCAACACATTTCACAATGTTTGTGATCGAATTCTAAGTTTTTAGAGCATATTTTGAAAGTTTATCAAAAATCTAGCATAGGTAAATATTTCTCGTGAATCGAGGACAACAATTAAACACTCGAATGAAGATAAATGTACTTAGTATTAGTATACATGTAGGGACATAGAAAATTGAATAAAAAAAACAAAATTATTTGAAATAACAAATAACTTTTTACCAAGAAATTTTTTATTATTAGGCTTTTAGTGCATATTCAAATAAAGTACTAAATTCATAAATAATTATATTATCTTAGTAAAAAATTTTAATTTTAGTGTAATATAAAATATAGTGATGTATATTTTTTTTATATTTATTGAATATTAGATTCTGAACGAAGTGAGAAAGGTATTAATTTTATTATGATGTATGTTTTTTTTTGTCTGTCATCATACACTTAGGAGTAGAAATAATGAAAAATAAAACATTTTTTACTTCAACTCCTCTTTGAAAAAGAAAATTCATCTAGTTTGGCAGGTCAAAAGTAAAAAATGTCGAGTAGTTTTCAAAAGCGTCAGGAAACCCGAAAAACCCTAAAAAAGTAACAAAGAAACGGTAATTTTAACGCATAATCAGTTTTCAACAAAATCGAATTTCACCAAATGTTTATTTAAASATCATCTATTTAAGATTACATTTTCAAAATATTTATGACTTTTATATCCTTTTATAGAAAATTGAAATTTTCGATTTTTCCAATTTTTTTTTTATTAATTGCCTACCCAAAAATCTTTAAAATTTAATGCAAGGTTCAATATAAGTTGTTCTTATCGTAGTAAAAAAAAATTAAAATCTTCTTCTTGTCGTATCGGTCTCCAATTCTTCATATTCCCTTCGCTTCCCAATAAGCCGCAATTTGTATTGCTTTGTCTGAAATTTTATTTTATGCGTCAAAAAATCTTCCTTTCTACACTTATTCGGTAATTGTGGGCATACAAACAGATGGTCCGCATCCTGCTCCCCACCACATTCGCATTTCCCATCATCTTTCAATCCCCATTTTTTCATATTACTCGCTGCATTTCCTACCAGTTTTGATTCCAATTAAAATTAAAATTCGTTAGTCACAATTTTTAGTTATAAGTAGGGAACCGATTTGAATGCAAGTTGCATTTTTTTCTGAATGTCCGAAAACATTGGTTAACTAAGGTTGTATTGTATTTAAATATTTTTTATTAGATTTTTCATAATAATGTTTTTTTAAAAGTTTTAAATACAAAATTTTGTTATTATTGAATATAAACCCAATTTTAAAGTTTTTTAGGGCATTTTTTTAGTGCATTTTTTAATGTTAAAGCATTTTTTAAGGCGTTAAATCGTATTTTTTTAAGGCATTTTTCTTATATTTTAAATCCGTTCCCTAGTTATAAGCATTTAAAGTTCAAATGTTTAGGAAATACGTCAAAATCACAAAAATTTGCATGGAATTAATAAGTTTAAAATTCATAAAATTGTTGTGATTTATACCTAAGGTTAGAAAACCTAACACAAGATTCTACATAACTTCTTCTTTAAATAACTTTTTAAAAAAACTCCAGAGTTAATATAGAAAACTTTTTATATAAAAATACACTACAGTAAACTATTATATTAGCTATGAATAAAACCAGTAGTTATAACAAAACTTTTCAAACGCCTATCAATATAATGATTTAAATATTATAATATTTGATTAGTTATATACTATTTAGAGCGTAACAATAAAACTACAGATATATTATAATCCCCCTACATGTACACCAATGTATACTTTAAACACCTATTTTTTTTTTAAATTGCATGACGAGGTTATTGTTTAAAATCATTAATATCATTTTTTTAATAAAGCTTAATATGTTGTTATAATACAATATCAAAATCAATTTTTTAATACAGATAGTTTAATAAATCTTTCATATAAAAATTTGTACTTATCTAAACATGAAAACAAACAAAATAAATGTGTAAATAAAACACAAATTACAAAAATAGTGTTTAATTCTAAAATTAATATAATAATAATAAAAATATAAATGTAGGTATTTAATAAGATTAATATATTTACAAACTGTAACTAAATAATGTTACTTCAAGACAATTGCTATTCTAAAATACAATATTTCTTTATACATTCAAATAAATATGATAAAATATATAAATATATAATTTCAATTTCAATTTCAATAAATTATTATTATTAATTAGAAAAATAACAAAATAATTTGGGAAAAAATTTGGTAAAAAATGGTGATAAATAATATATATACTAAATGTTACCCAGATTATCTCCAAATAGAATAACAAAATAAATTTTAAATTATAAAAGTGAGCACAACATTATTACAAAAAAAACACAATAACTAGTTTATTTGTTTTATTATTCAAAATGTCTTTTTTTATAATAGTTTGTAAGGTTTCTGTAATTATACAAGATAAGTAAACTACAATAATTTAATTAATAAATGGACTACTAATTTGTTTTAAATTCTTATATATAATATCTAAAAACCTAATAAAATACAGTCCSTTATTTTTAGCCTCAAAAATTTACAACAAGCAAATTTAGTCAAAAACATCATTGCTGAATTTATTCATTATATAAATGAATTAATAAAATAAATAAAAATTTACTATATAAAAAGTTATCTTTATGAAATGGAATACTAATTAATGGACATTTCAACAAAACACATTTGATACAATTTTTATTTTGGGTAAAATGTGTAGAGTAAAATATATATTTTGATAACAATTTTTGATTTATACAAAATGAGAACAAATGTAAAATGATTTTAAGTAGTTTGAATTCAATATACAATTCTGTATACAATTAATTTATTGGAACATTATAAGTTACTACTGGTTATTAAAAGTATAAGCTATTTGGCACTTAAATATGAAAACACATTCTACTCTGATTTTTTCTGAGCAGTTATTTTATCATTTTGTGTATTTTAATTATACGCCCCAGGCGTTGTTTTGGTGTAGCCATACCTTTTCTTGGCCTCCCAACTAAAAGGCAAACATAATAAAATATAAAAATTATTGTAAACAAACATTATTATGAGTTAAAACCAAACATAAATAACAAAATAAAACAAATTGGGATTTCAATTCATAACTTTGAACATTAAACACGCAAAAGCATATATTAGCAAACTCATTAAAATGTCTGGGGGGTCTTAAATTTCATGAACAAAAAATTGATTATTTAAGGAGTTAATGGGATATTTAGGACGACTAAGAACTCTTGTGATTTGTACATATGTACACAGGTAAAGGCTGTAGTGTCTATTAGAATAAGCATTTTAACTTTAATATACTGTTTACAAAATATTTGTTTTGAATATATATGTGGCGTATTACATTTTACTCTAAATTAAAAATGCAAAACAGTGACATAATATTATTGACTGTATTACCTTTAGGTGTCAGTGAATCACAATTTTTTTTTGTTATTGATTCACTAATCGTTGTTTCATCTGTAAATTCAGTAGCTGGTTCTGAAACACTTATGTCTTCTAAGACTTGTTTACTTTTTGACAAATGACTCTTTTTCTAATTGAAGTAAAGTAAAAGGTCATAAACAAATAATAATTCAATGATTGACACCATTTAACGAATTACATACCAAACGTTTAATTGTCACTTCATTATTTTTATTATTTTTACATTTATTTTTCTTTGATACGGTTTTTTCAACTTTTGAATACATATACTTATTATGTTTGCGTGTCAAGCGATCCCCAGGAGTTAAAATATTAGATGGTGGTTGCCATGTCACATCATTGGTATCTTCATCATCAGAGTTAGTTATAGCTGGATATACTGATATTAAAATGAATTGTTACAACATACATTTTATATTTTATAAATTTAAAATAATATGTTGAAGTATTAATTTTATTTGCGTGCAATAAAAAATAGTTATTTACTATAAAATAAGTTATAACTAAATAACTATTTAAGGTATTTATTTAATAAATATAACCAACCTAAGGTTATACCTAAGTCATGTATTTTATTTACAATTTAATTGTATACATGATTACAACAAATAAAACTAATTGACATACAACCTAAATGAAAATGTTTATTCTAACAATAAAATAGTATTTATTTCTTATCATATTATCAATCAACATTTATAATTAAATTTTTTTAAAGAATGATAACACCTTTTTTTAATTTAAGTATGATTTTTTACCAATTTTTAGACCAAAATGACTGTTTAAAAATTTAAATAAACAATATTGATAAAACAAGTAGTTAAAATAAAATAGTACATATAATTATTTTTTTGGATTAAAGCAACTACTTAAAAATTCAACTGTCCTAACAGTCCATGAGAATTAAATACATTGTTAAGAAATAAGAAATTTTTCCATAGCAGGGAATGCAATATTTTTTTACTTCTTAGGGTTTTCTGGTATATTTATTTTAAAAGCTAGAAAATTCTGTATTGACCTTGCACATTCCAAATTCATAAGTCGTTGAATGCACTCCTTATACATTGAAGAGGCATTCAAAAATAATCCAATAAACTTACATACCGTACAAATAATTGATCAATATTGATATTTTATATAATTAATTATATAAATAATTTATAGATCAATATCTATAAATTATTGATATCAAATAGAGAAAATAAACATTCTCAGGTTGTCAGAAACTAAAGAAATTTTAAAATATTAAAAACCATGAAAAATGCCACCAGTTAATTTAATTATATTACAAATATTATATATAATACAAATCATTTGAAATTGGATATATTTACTTAAAAAGTGATAATTCATTAAATGATTCAGATAATTTGGATTTAGCTATGGTATCAAGAATTTTTGGACACCAACTAACCAATCCTCCATGAACTAAAATTATTATTTCTATATAAAAAAATTATTTTTATAATGTAACTCTACTTCTATAATTGTGAAAAAACAGCAGTAATGAATGACAATAATTAATTTAGTACTCATAATAATAAATAATAAATATAATATTATTCAAAATGTCTAGTTAACACTCAATACCAAAGATTTATAGGTTTAGTGATATTAGGTGGGTATTATAAATTAAGTAATAGTGATTAAAAAAATAAAAAGTTTTCCAATAAATCAACTACCTAGATTCTTTTGTCTCATATGTTGCTTAAAAAATTAACCTAAATTATATTTTTCATACTATATTCTACTAAAACGGGTTGGTAGATTATTAATTTACAACAAACTATTAACTTACTAAAATTTTCATCTTGACGAATAGATTCAATTGGTTCATCACAAACATCGATCAACTCTGATTCAGTATCATCAACTTTTTGAACAAATTCGCAAGTGTATGACCTATAATTTGTGTATATATTTTATTGTAGATAGTCTAATTATTTATTATTAACAAAGATTTGGTTTTAAAGCACTTAAAAGAATTATTATACAACATATTAAAACTTGAAATAGAATAAAAAAATAATATAATATTCACTAAAATATGGAAAATAACAACAAGAACAAATAGTCTTTTTATATGAATTATTATTTATTACTTTTAAGATTATATAATTACAAAAATAAAAATATATCATTTTCAATTCAATTGATCTTCAAATTTATAGCCAATACTATTCAAGGTTGTTTTAAAAATAATGAAAAATAAAAAACATTTAATGTTCCCAAGTTCCCAGATTTGCCCCACTCAAAATATGTTTCATATAAACCATAACTAGTACAGTAAAAAAATATAACTTCACCGATACAACGCGGTATGATATGGGCTTCATAAAATAACAAAATTTCAATCGTTTTAGATCAAGTATTTAAATAACTGTATGCTAACATATTATAGTTATAATACATACAATCATTCTGAACATTATTTTAAGAAAAAAATTATTATTATTTATCATTTTAATTAATGTTTTGTAATACAATTTTTTTTTAACCTTTATTTTTCTCGTGACTTTCAAAATCGGATATAAAGGATAAAACATACACAATTTAATGATAGTAGACAAAGCATAAGACTACATTAAAAAAAAAAAGAATGTATTTATGTAATATATTAATATAATTTTCAGGTAAAAATAATCTTAACCAAAACTCAATTACAGTCTTTTACAACACTAAATTATATTTTCTTATATTCATAAAAGTATATTGATTTTAATATTTAATAAAGTTTAAAATATTTTTAACTTTAAATAAAATATAGTTAAAATATAATAATAAGTGTAATTATATTTAACAAAAAAAAAAAAAATGTTAAAGCTCTTTGAACCCACAAATAAATATTAAACAAACTTTTTTTTATATTAATTTCCCTATGAACTACTATCTATGAAAAATAAAACAAATCTGAATTGTGAATTAACAAAAATAGAACTACAAATTAAAATTATCAAAATACCCAGCGATCAATTTTATATTCAAAATCCTCAATCCAAAAACAAATCTATAGCTTACTCTACTATTTTTATTTTTATAATAATTATTAAATCTTATAAATTCTGAGACCATATATAATTAAATTGTGTAGTTTTTTAATCAATTGCATTGAAACTTACACAACTTCTTCTTGTTCGGAGGATGAATCTTTACCTTCAATGTCAACGTCTGGCTCTTGCTTCTTTATTCTAATAATCACTTTTTCTAAACAAAAATATTATTTTTAAATTAATAAAAGTATGGAACATAAGTAAATCACATACAATAAACATACCTTGAGTAGTTAATTCACTAGAATACTTTTTATGGTGAGAGTTATCAAGCATTTCATCCATTTCTAATCCCATATTTGTCAAAAGCTACCAACTAAAAAATATGTTAAATCAACATTTAAGTAATTTATATTATATAATAGTTTGTAAAATAATAGCTTAATTATTGAAAAGTTACTATGAGATTATAAATTCATAACTTAATAAAGATTAATGAGCTCAATTTTCTAAAACTAAATATATAAATATATAGGCAAAGAAGTACACAATACACAGTCAATAATCATTGGATATCTATTCAAACTTCACGGGTTTGAGAATTATTATAAATATTAATTTTTATATTTATTATAAATTATTGTTTTATGATTTATTTTCTATTTGTTATTAGGAATCAGGGAATCAACAAATGTTTATACATAATAAATCAAAAAATACTCAATTATACAGTAATCAAAATTGTTCAGTAGTTGTAAGCAATACTCAGATTTTTTATATTTTTCCCCTGACAAAAAAAATCAGCTTTAAATTATTCCTTAGTTAAAATGAAAAATACTTGAATGATCATAGATAAATATAAAAATATGACAGGATATCTTCAGTCATTGAAGTGCCTTGTGCAGTTGTGCCAACACCAGTCGCTACTAATAATTCCCAGATGGTCACCACCAAAATTCATAGTGGCAAATCCTTGCAACACATACAAGTATTTGAACCAATCATATCAACCGTACAAACCATCGCTTCGAAAGAAGGAAGGGAAGGGGGGTATATCCGGATTTCAAAAATCCAAATTATTTAGATTTAGTAAATCAACATTTCACAGATTATCCAAATCATTCAACTTGAATTTGCTGTTCAATGACACATTTTTATAATCTAATAGTATTTTAATTCTATAATGTAATTTTCGGACAAATGTATACCAAATTTTGAACACATTTTAAATACCAGTGATATCATAAAACATAAGTATTAATTTACTGTTAAATTTTCATTATAATAAAATAAAATTATTTTTTTAACCATTGGTACATTAAAAATAATTGCAAGCCTAAAGTCACATAAAAAGCAAATTCATAAATCTGGATAAGAATTTGATTCAAATCCAGATTATGATATCTGGATGTTCTGATAATTCAAATATTCGGATTTCATGCTCATTCCTACCATAACCACTACTGCTAATGGCCATAGTTACCAGGCTCGAGATCAGTAAAAAAAATATAAAATAATATAATAATTGGGTTCAATTATCAATACTGTAACTAAGATTATAATTGTATAAGTACCTAGTATGAACATATTTGTATATCCAGTAACATATTGAGTTGAGGGTATTGAACTATTGACCCCCAACCAAAAAAATATTAAACATTGTAATCACCGAATTGGTTTTATATTAATATAGGTATAATGTATCACACCTGGAAATTAATAAAAAATTAATGTATGATTAATATTTATCAGAGATAAGACATTTAAATCGGTGTCACTTTAATATCAATCTTCAATAATTTTACTTTTGCATTGGTCATCAATTTATCATAAAATATAAAACAAAAAAATAAGTATATTAAATGTTATGATATAAAATACTATTAAGTATCAATAAATAACAATATAATCAAACTATTAAGGTGTGTAAAAGAATATAAGGAGTATAAGGCATAATTTCACTTTAGATATCCAGGAATTTTTTTAAGATTTTTATGGAATCATATGTATTTCAATTAGTAATGAACGATGGTGTTAATAAAAATTTGTGGAAACCATTATTTTGGAAGTTATAACCTTCCAAAGTTTGTGATTTTAAATTTATACATATGCGTGGAATACCCGAATACTACATTAATGCCGTTCAGAGGTCATCAAATTTGGGAATTATAGTTGGTAGGCAAAGCAAACTACTATACTATATTTATGTTACTTTAACAGGTAAGGTTACAATATACTCATTTACTTGTTGTTTACCTGAAATTAATTGCAAAACCACTTAATATTACTTAATACTTATAATAATTGAATATGCATTATAATAATAATATAAAATTTAGTAATAATAAGAGTTATAAAATAATGATATAGAAATAAAATAGAACGGAAAGCAATTAAAATGTACAATTATGTATAGTTAAGTTACTTAAATTTACAAAATAATATGATCTATACTATGGTACCTAAATATTACTTACGCAATTAAGCTAAAAGGAGGGAAAGGATAGGTATTCAAATAAAAACTTAGTTTTAAGTAGTAGATCTAAAAAATATCTCAAACATTATCTTTGTGTAAAAAGAAATTAAAAAAAAATATGGGCAGCTAAAGTGAATTTGTTCCGAATGTAAATATAGTACCTACTATAAACGCTACAGAAAATACACTTAACAATTTCACTTGATTCATAATTGGCAAAGGAATATTTTTAAAGTCTAATAAGAGTGAATTCACTCATAAACATTTTAACAAATTAATATCAACTGAAACTCTTATTACTGTAGACTTGTGATAAAAACTATATAGTAGGTATATACCAACAGAAAGGAATAATTAACTTGAAAACACTTTCAATTCAACGCTAAGGAAACATTGAAACAAATAATCCCCTGAATAATCATTTGGCATAAACTTACAGCATAAATAGGTTTTAGCATATAAGTAGATACTAAAACTTTAAAACTGAATAAGATCTAAATGAATCCGCTGAACGGCTATTTAATACTCACCTAAAACAAGAGAGTTTGTCACTGGGTTGTGATGCAATAGTGAGATCGATAAATCTGACAGTCTGGTTGATAGTTACGCCAAATGTTTTCCATTTGGGTGCACAAAGCTTGAAACTACGAAAACTGCATTTACGACGACATATCAGAAAATAGTTAACTAACAAAATGACAAATTGAACTAACAAGTAACAACTAACGTTATTTCCCACAAGAACAACACAACAATCATATTTCGCTTTCTGAATATTATCATTCGTGATATCGGAGACCGGCTATCGATAGCCATTCGATAACATTACAGTGCCCATTGTAAATTCGAAATCGCCGATCGGCAAATAAATAATAAATAATAATAATTTGATGATTACCTTTACCTATATATTATATTGGTAAATATAATAGTAATATTATAATTCAGAGTTGAATCTGGTAATCAGCAGCTGTTGGTATCGATGGTATTATCGGAACTTGCTATTAGAAATTAAACCAATAACTTACAGTGTTTGGGAGGCGGCGGTCAAAAGTAATAACACTCTATCGATTGTTTGGAATTCAAATCGTACGATAGCGTAAATAAACCACTGACCACTGTTATCGTTATTCGCTACTGTAATACCACGGAGAATATAAAACATAAATATAATTTATATAATCTGTTTTATAAATTTAAATATACTTTGTTAATATCGTCGGCTTGAACCAAATTCATACTAACAGCAAAAACTAAATTGTTAGAAAAATGCAGATATAAGAATACAGAAATTAAATTGGGCATGGAAAAATCTGAAGTTTTAAAATCTAGAGTTTAAAATATATTCAATTGAAAAATATTTTTTACGTAATCTGTCAAAAACGTGAAAAATTGCGAATAATTTTGAAGTTGAAAAATCATAAAAATGTTTGTGTTTATAACTAAGGATTAAAAGTAGGTACTTATAAATATTAGAGTGAATCAGTGGCGCCGATCGCTATGTCCAGGTATTGCAGTTGCAATACCTATTAAGAGTGGGTGGGTGTAATAAGCCTACGAAACACACTGGCTAAAATTATTTTAATTTATGAAAGTTATAAATTATTTTATTTATCATCATAGCTAACATTATGAATTAGGATAAACCATAAACCTAAACGCCAACAATAGAGTAATTTCCGGGGGGGGGGGAGCTTCGGCCCACTATGCTACCGGTTTATATACCTACTCTACTATCCCCCTTAACACGACCCTGCTGACAATCTTTAAATGTACTTATAACTCTTAGTTGTTAAAATTATAATTTATAGATAGATGAGTGGAAAAAAATTGAGGGGCAGTCGCTCAACCTAATGTAGGTGGGTGGGGGTCTTGTTTTGCAGGTATGCTTTGCAATACCTCTAAAAACTGACTTCGGCGCCACTGAATAAAACCAATTGGACTCGGCATTTACAGTCATGTGGTAAAAAAAGAAAACTATCAAATTGTAATCATATTAGTGTCACAAATACAAATACTACAATATTAGGAATTATATTGATTTTTGTGAAAACTATTTAGAACTTGAAAAAACAGTGACTCTGCCAGAATACATYCATACCGAAACTCCTAATCAGACTTCTGATGAAAATGAAGAGTTGTTTGATGATTTTGATCAAAATGAAAGTGACGATGAAAATGAAGCATCTATCAGTGATAGAACTAATATTGAAAAMGCAGGAAGTATGAACAAGTTATTTCAGTTATTTTGTATACTTCAGTTAAGAAGTGTATTTCCAAGTTCATATACATTACTACAAATTGCTGTTACATTACCGGTATCTAGCTGCAGTGTTGAGCGCTCGTTTTCGAAGTTAATACTTGTTAAAACCAAATTAAGAAGTACTATGACGGAAGACAGATTGGAAAATTTAATGAAAATTACGTGTGAGCAAGACTGTGAACCAAACACTGAAAGAATTATACAATACTTTTTCCACAAAAAGTACATTATTATCAAAAGCCTTAAATTAATTTAGTTTTTAATAAGAATTAAATGATTTATGTTCTATTATAATATCAAAACTATATTATTTTTATAGTTAACTACATATAAAAAATATTTATTTTTTTGTGGTAAAAATAAAGTATTTGTTGTCTTGTTGAATACATATTACCTACACTTAACTCTCCAATATCTAAAGTAATACCATACAATCCAAGATCAATAGTTTTAGCCTGTCCATCTAGCTATAATTAGTTAATATAATATKAAGATGTTATATAATATACAATTTATATATACATATTATATATATGTATATACATATTATGTGTATCATAAAACAACTTTAGGTGGTAGGTATTTGTATAAAAAATTATAATTTCGCAACATAATTTGAAATGGACCTCGGCGTCACTGCATCATGGTTAGATTAGTCAGAATCTAAAATATATTAAAATTGAATATAACAATAAAAAAAAAAAATGTTTTTTTTATTTGCATAAATTGCGTGAAAAACACTTTTAAAAATAAATTAAAATTTGCTCGTGATTAAAACGTATAAAATCATTAATACATTTTTTAAAGACTTTTTATTATATTTAAATATCAAATGATTTAAAAAATTGACAATTAAGATTTATTAGCTTTTTTACAGGTTTGCAGTAAGTTAATGGTGATTAAAATAAATAAAAAATATTATAAAAAAATAATTTATATTTCTTTTTTTTTGTTTTGTGGATATTAATAAATATATTTTAAATTCTAAGATTTTCTTTTTTTGCTTGGTCTTCTTTATCAATTACCATATTAAAAGTCTATAAAAACTTGATTTTTAACTATTTATTTTCTACCATTGCGTAAACAATAATGAGCATAGTCAATAATAATTTTTTATTGCAGTACTTAAATAGTTTAGCTATAATTGAACAGACATGATATTGTTTAGAAATATGATATTTTTAAATTGCTTTTATTGAAATATTATTGGATTCTTTATCTTTGTAGTGAAGTTCAATGAAATAATAATAAATTTGATATTTGGATTAAAATTCGGAATACCAGTTAGACATAAATAGAATATCTTTTTTTTTTATAAATTTATAAAACTAAAAAAATCCACGCACACATCTATGAATTTAAATGAGTAACAAACACATTATATTATAGTATATATTTAATACAATGTTTAAAATTTATTCATCATTTATAACAATCTTTATAAAAAATATTTTATTATTTAATAAATGAAAAAGTTATGAGTACACATCAACAGATGTTTAAGTATATTTATATAAACTAGGTTTAACAAAAAATAAAAGATGTATTACATTTTTTAATTAGTAATAATACTAACATTAGAATTCTTAAATATCAAAAGATGTTTTCCATACATGTACTAAACAATCTGTACCAGCAGTAGCAATCATACTTCCATCATTAGAAACATCGATATCAAATAATCCACCTTAAATATTTCAAAAATAATTTAATAATACAATTATTTTTAAATTGTACAGATATAAATATTATTGTTAGAAATTAAATTATAGGCAGTAGAATATTTTTATGTATTTTATTTTAATGCTATCTATTATTATTTATCAACTACATTTCATTATCCTAAATATAAAGTAACAAATATTTAACTATTTACCAGAATGTGCCTTGACTTTACAAATAAGTTCAAATTTTTCTAAGTCCCACAAATACAACATTCCATTTTCACCACCAACAAAAACATGATATCCATCCCATGCTAGTGTTCTATAAAATATAATTTTTAATTTATTCATAATTAAGCTTATAATTACGTAACTTATAAAAACATTTTTACATATTTTAGACTTGAATTAGCCCTAATGAATATGAAAGTAGATTTACAAAGAGAAATATTTTACTTTAATGGACATTTAAGTGTATTGGAGTAAAGTTCTAATCCACTATCAGAATCAAACACTTTGAAACAGCAATCATCCGAACACGAAAGAAGTTTTGAGCAATCACGACTAAAACTTATTTTATTTACATTCTCTGAATGTCCTGTAATACAAATAATACCAGACATTGTGGTTTTTTAGTAGTTTTATACAAATTAGGTATAGCGATTAATGGCATTTACTTAGGTATACCTGGTAATTGTTGTATAAATGAATAGTCAAGAAATGACCACAGAAAAATTTCTCCTACATTAGTCCCAGTTGCCAATAATTTATTGTCCCTGTAACATATGCATATTATAATTAAACTATAAAATTAAATAATTATAATAGTAATAAAAATATGTTTTTATTGTTAAAGATGTTAATGAATATATTGTAAAAATATTACAATAAAGTAACAATGTTTAAATGCCACATATTTTTTTAGTAGAAATATGCATTATTTTGTCTTAGCAAAAATATATTATAACCTATTTTGTATATTATATTATATAGTTTTAGGCAACATACTTTGTATTTGAACTGTTGAATTAAGGTATCATAATATAAAGGGAATCAGAGAAAGATTACTTTTTCAATTAACAAACTGATTAAATACAATTCTCTTCCACAAAACATAATTTTTTTTTCTTTTGTCTGTAAAAATATTATTAGCACTCACTCAGAAAGAGCTAAACTTGTGACTTTATTTTCATGTTCCAGTTCAGCTTTGAGTGAAGTTATCAATTCAATTTTGGTCCAAGGGGCTTGTGGAGCCTTCCAAATACGTGCAGTACAATCTAAAGAACCAGTTATTAAGTATCCGGTTTTAGACCAAGCTAAACAAGATATAGAATCTTCGTGAGCTCTAAAATCATCAGTAATACGACAACAGTCAATATCATAAACAATCCTATAGATTAAAAAATAATTATTAGTTCATCATTATTTCCTATATGAGATTATATTAATTACAAAGAGCCATGCATAGTAGCAATCAGCGCTGTTGATGTATAAATTGATGGTAAAATTATATCATTAAATTTAACAGGAAAACCCTGTACGATAACACTTCTAATTTGTTTCTGGGTTGATATGCAATGAACTTTTAGCATAGCATCATATCCAACTGACCAAACTGTTTGCAAGTCTTCACTAAGTTTTACACTTGTAGCTATATCTCTATGTTTAGTTGTAGTGAATAGTTTTAAAACACTCAAATTTTTCCAATTCCAATACTGTTTTATATTAGATAAAATTCCTGATAAAAAATATTAAATCAATTAATAGTGAAAATTGTTAACTAATATTTAATAGTACAATAGTAAAATAAACTACAATATTACCAAGCTTTTGGAAATCTTTAATCAATAAACATGTTTTGGGTGGATGTGGCTTTTCAAATATCTGTTTTGGTATTTGTCCAAACTCCATAATTTGTACCTCTAATGCATGTCTTTGATTCCAGTCTCGTATATTGTTTAAATCAACAGCTCCCTCATAACATAAGTAGTAAAACACTAACAATAAAACAATATTATAATGATGATTAATATATGATGTGAATCTAATGTGACACTTTAATCTAATTTTTTTTTAAACATTTTGTAATTTAATGTAATTTATTTGAATAGACTATACCATTATTTGCTTTAATTGCTTCTGGTCCGTTTTGTTTAAAACCAAAAATAAGATCTATCCAATGATGTATATGATTAGACACGTAATCACTTTCTAAAGCTTGTCTCAATTTAGAAATAAAGTCTGCAGGACCTGATTGAATAAAAATAAAATAAAATAATTTAATAATTTTTAAAATATAAAAAGTATATAACATTGATTTACTATTTGCCCACTGTGGAAGTTCAACGTCACCAACTTTGCGACCATCATGCCTGGTTCCAAAATCAATAGCATATTTATTAGTTAAAAAATCACAGCACTGATCAGTGTCATAAAATTCAGGAACTAGCTCTTTAAAGTCTGACATATTGTTTAACACATTTCTCCAAGTATCTGACATACTTAAAAAAAAAAAAAATTATGAATTATCAAATAAATGTATCTCATAATCAATGATTCAGTTTAAGAGAATAATACACAGAAATTTGTTTGATGTCTTAGTGTCTTATTACCCAGACAAAGTAGGATACATTCCTAATTATATCAAAACATATGTTTCCAACAATGTCACTGACATTGGATTATGTTACTCTCTTATGAAGGGAAATCAAAATTATTGTTGGTGATTATGGAAACTTTTATTCTTGGTATGAAGTAGATATAGATACACATATGACAGACCTGTTTAATTTTTATTACATTTTAACAGAACAAAAAAAAAAGCTAAAATCAATTTATTTCAACACACTCTAATACTGCTTACTAAGCAAGAGAACCGTAACTTGAAGAAAAGAGTTAGCTACAATATCTGATAAATATAAAAATGTAAATATTTTTTTTGTAACAATTACATTAAAATATATTCAGTGTTGCTGTATGTATATTACCATTTATAACATTTTTTGTTTGAGTAAACAAAATATTTTATTAATTTATAAGCATAATTTTTTTTCAATTTTAGCATTACATATTATTGATTTTTAAGCTATTATTTTTTTTTATTGATAATTGGAAAATGTATTATTTTTCTTTGAGGATGGCATTAAAATAATTATGATCTGATTGTTCTTTTTTAATATTATATTCACTCCAAATGCAAGTTCTAAATCACTTTATTCAAAGAATCACAAGAAATGTTTATTTACGATCGGAAAATAAATTTCTTCCACGCCTAATAAAAAGTATACAGAGAATTACTAGTATTAAAATATCATTAAATAAAAATTAAATTATGAATTATATTGTTTTTTATGAATGGATCAACTTAAAATCACCACAAAAACTTAGTAAATCAACAAACCACATTTTACTAAAAGATGTTGTGGTTATAAAAATTGTTTGAGATAAATGTTTTAATGAAGAGGAATATTCAGAGCTTGATTTTTAATGAAAAATATCTGGAATGACTGCACTTCAACCATTGAATGAACCTTGTTGCATTCCTGTAGAAAAATGAAACAACATTCTCAAAAACTTAAGATTAAGCCTGTCTACAAAATGGGAGACAATTTTGAAAAAAAAATATTTATGAATTAAATAAAAATTTAATAAGTATGACATATTTTAATTAAATATGAATAATAAAAAATAATTTAAGTTTGTGATAATAATTCAAAATAGGTAATAACTTATAACATTTTTAAATATAGTATAATTAATGCTGACAATTTTAGTCATAAAATTATAAGGCTTATAATTACTTATCAAAATGACACTTATATAAGAATAACTATCTAATAGTATTTTTACTTCTTGAATAAAGATTTGTACCACTTATTTGCTAAATAATAAAATTAAAATTACTGTTGTTTGGCAATAAATATTGATAAAAATATTTTTACTAATATACCATTATATTTTTGTGGAAATATTAATAAATATTTAACCTAAATACTAAATCAAATAAATCGCGCATATTTAAGGTCTTAAGAACATAGATAAAAATATATTTTTTTTTATCAAATCTTACTAATTGGTTTATGCAGCAATTTTGCTTAGCAGGCAGAATATTAACTATGTCACGTCTTAAGGAATATGAATGCAGTTATAGTTAAGTAATAGTTATTTTAACTTTTAAGTATTAAGAATTATGGAAATCATTACATATTATTAAATACAATTTTTTTTAAGTAACTATTTAATTATTTAAAACATTAATTTACAACTTAAATGGGTTAATTGACTATTTAAGAACTTGGAAAAAGATAGATATTCCTTATTAACTATAAAGTAAAATACCTGTTAAACATTCGGTCTGGATGGTCAAATCTACCATTTTGCAAACACAACATGTATTGAGGATATTTGCGTACTAAATAAAACAAAACAAATCCAGGAGTTGAATAATGAGATCCATATAAGAATTTAGGTGCATTCATTTCATTGTATCTATCCTATAAAATGAAGTACCTTAGTTAATAAATACATGCACAAATCATATTATGTAATATCTAATGTTAGTTTTGTTTAAGACCTGGAGTTTTAATAATCTTTCTGGATTCAAGGCACCAATAGGCTTAGTAAGATCACGGAATGTATTTGAGTTAGTTAAATCTAGGGTAGGTGATGAGTAATCTGCTACAACCCACGGAAAAACAGGATACTGTGTCAGATCATTAACAGTTCTATCAGCCAAACTAAAATATAATACAAATTAATTTACTTGATACATTTTACTGCATAAATACCGACTTCAATTTAATTTTCAATAAAATAAAATATATGACTTTGATCTAATATATTTTAATAAACATAATATATAGTAGCAAATAGCAAATAGCAAATACCAAATAGCAAACAAATAAAAATATATTATTTTTGTACACATTTTGATGGTATGAAAATATTAAATTAAGATTTAAAACTGAGTGTAATATACTTAATAATATTCCATATTTATTATAAAATATTTAATTAGAATACAAATGATGTCGTGAAATATTAATTTTGTAAACCTATATAAATATATGTATACATTTTTTTTTTTAATTGTAAAATATAAATAAATACCTGTTTAAGTACAATAAATAATCATAGTTAGACAAAGCGCCGTTTTGCCATTTCAGTGTCATGATGCATCTTTCCCGTTTTTCCATTTTTAATTTTGACTGATTTAATGAATTATCATAAAAATTATCTCGTATTTCAGTATTTTTGAATGTCAAGTAAAGTTGTTTATTGATTTCATATTCAAATTCTAAGCCCTAAAATAAAATGTCATAAATATATACGTTATACTTCTATGAAAATAATAATATATTGATGCTTTTATAATTAATCTACACATTTTACATTTCTACAAGCAAATAAATATGTTTTACTTTGTAAAATATAAATAAACACTAAATACAATGGAACAAAAGTTGTGTAAAACTGTAACTATAATAAATAAATAATAAAACATATATTTACATTGATTAGCAAGACTAGAAATTAAATTAATTTTCTTAACTCTGTAGGCTATCACTTTTTCATTAACATTGAGACATTATAAACACATAAATTAAATTAAAAATTAAGTTTTTAATCCCATAAATTTAACTTATATGAAGCTTATTTTATTCAACTCCCGCCCACCCTTATACTGTAAATTATTTAGTGAATGACTCTAGAAAATGTTAATGCTTATCAATCAAAATTCTAAGGAGTAGTTCTTGGGCTATTAAGAAGTTTATGCTAAAGATAATAATCCCTAAAAAATTATTTCACAATAATAAAATCTAGATATAATCCTACATTTAGAATTTATAACACTGATACCTTTTTTTAGAAATTATTAATGTGTATAAATCAATAGTAATTACTAACTTTTTCATAGTGTCTAAGCCACTTTATCTACTTAACCCCTTACCATAGATATATTATCTCCTTAGTTCACAAAGTTAAATAACTTGGAAACTATCTGTTTGAATCTCTAAATTACATACATCAAAAAATTCTCAAAGAAAATATCTATTCAGGAATTAAAAATGAAAAATGGAATTCTTATTTGTATTGTCATCAAATCATTTTTGAGTGGTACATAAATACTCAAAAAGTTAAAAATATGACTTTCAACTTTCAAGTATATTTAAAACATTTGAAAATCAGAATGTGAATATATGCATAATTTAAGCATAAAATTGCATCCTTAAAAAATTACACTGTAATGTATCAACTTCTTAAAAATTTTAAGATTATTTTTGCAGATAAAAAAATTGTTATATTCTACAAATGTATGTATATAAATGATAATAAACAAATACATTTAACTTAATAACATAACAATTAAAAATCAACTTTATTGAGAATATAAAAACTTATAAGTTGACTTTAAATTAAAATAAATGCTAATTAATTAATGAGTTAGGTAAATAAATGAAAACTCACTTAACTTTTTAATTTGTTAACTCATTAATGCCTTTTAATTGTTAATTAGTTTATGGTGATCTAATTAAATAATACTGTGAGGATAAATAATACACCTATTCTAAGATTTATAAATCCTAAACTACATTTTTAAATATGATTCCAACAAAGCACTTGACACCGTCGTCAGCTGGTTTCAAATTGCGAGTTCTAGACGTGACTTAAACGCAGCGCGCTTGCGGTTCGTGAAAACACCTAATAGCGCATCCTCTCGGTCGTTGCATGTGTAAACGTTTCGGTGACATGTCCTCTTAAAAAATAAAGTATTTTATATGTATGTTTTGAGCATACACAAAGACTCAAAGCTTAAGCATCAAAATTTATCATATATTTACTGTGTTTTACTAACACAAAACAATCCTATAAATATGTAATGATATAATACACATAACTAAGAACAGGTTAGGTTATAATTTGTTGAAACAATTATCATTATTTTCAAAAATTATTAAAATTTCAATAGATTATTTATTTTAATTAAAAAGTAAAATTTTATTAATAATAATAACATATCATGAACTATAATATAAATTTATAAATAATAATATTGTTTTAATATTTTACTACCATTAACTTCAATTGAAATTAGAAATATTCTCATTTATTAGAATATACTTAGCAATTTAATATTAATTCCTAATTTATTTGGCTTTGTATAAATAAATGAATTTAATTTTAAATTACTTTTCTTGTAATTTTTTATTCGTACTAATGTGAAATATTGATAGCTGATTCATCATTCAATTTTCCATGCAATGAAGATTAGGCTGAAAACTATAAAATCTCTTAATCAAAAGATTCATGGTGAAGAATTTCAGCAACACATTTTCCTTTATTATAACGTCTCAGTTATTAAATTAATTAATAAGAAGAGAAAAATTATAATTAAACAAAATGATTGTTATATATTATAAAAATAAGTTTCTTAAAGAACTATTTTAAGGATTAAATTAGAAAATGTAAAATAATGCCAAGTTAAACAATATGCTGCAAAAAATGAATATTATTACAATACTATGTTTAACAATTTATTAATACTTACAACTTGTTGTAACAGAAATCTTCTTTTAATGATTCGCTTTATTTCTGACAATTTAATTTTTAAATATAAAGTCTAAAATAATAAAAATATTCGTAATTTAGAATCTTATTATCATACAAATAGAATGTTAATAATTTTATTCAAGTGCAAAGCAAACAGTGTTATAAGTTAATGTTAATTGTATATAATATTTTAATGATATACAACATATTTTATTCTAAGGTATAAAAATATTTACCTAAACCACATTTATAACACTTATCAAAATCAGGTTTAGGTGTACGGGATAGATAAAAAATAAAAAATTGATGCTAGTTAAATGAATAAAAAAATTATAAAAATTAATGAATAATAAATAATTAAAGATGTATTTATATCTGAAAATTCTCAAGAGTTTCAAGTTAAGTTTAAAAATGTGAAAAATAATATATTAGATTAAAAAAGATGTTTTAAACATCAAACACTTTCTAATAATTTAATTATAAATTTATAAATGGGCTATTTTGAATTTTTCTATAAAAACTAAATTTTTAAATATTAGTCAGAAAAAAAGTTATTTTATTTGTCAGGTCGATAACTTACAAAGTAATCACACATAAATTTGCATAAGAAATAGTTAAAACATTTCAAATTTAACTTACCACCTCATTATTGTTGAAAGGTTGGAAATACACATGTAGAGTAGTCAATACTATTCTCCCAGAGTTTATACTGAGAGGTGTTATTTTCTGACCAACTTCTTCCATTATTATATTTTCACCCAACTCTAACCATGTTGGGTCAAATGTAATAAGTGTTTGTCTACCAAATGCTATTGCTGCAGCCTAATAATATTCAAATATATCCAATATAATTAAATTGTATAATAAATAACATTTAAATTCATTAATTTAATAGTAAATAACATTAACTATCTTTTTTAAATTTAATTATTTACCATATGTCTATGTTCTGCAGTTTGCAATGAAGAAGCTCGATGTAGTTGTAATATAAGAGACAAGCATTCCTCCACTCGAGCATATTTTAAATCAATTCTGAATAGTGATAATTCCTAGAAAATTTAAAATATAAATATAAAATGTATTCAATATGGACAAATAAACACTTACATTAATAAACTTGTAGGGTTCTAACACATTATGATCTAACATTTCAATGTGCTGTTTGCTTATTATATTTAATATATTTGAACCTTCATTTGAACTAATTATATTGATATGAAACAAAATAATATTAATATAAAATTAATGAAAGTATAAACGCTTTATCCTACAAACATATGGATTTGATATTTGATTATTTGGTTAAGTTATCTAAGGTTTAAATACAACATTGAAAGTGACAATATCAAACATATTTCTTTACTCTTTGTATACAACAATTTATAAATGTACACATTATTTAAATGTTATAACAAATATAAAATATTAGATAAGTTGAAAAAAAAATACTAGGTATATATTTAACTAAGTGTTCAAAATCTATCACAAACCTCTTAGTAATGGATCCACATTGTGTAAACGGTATCTTTAAAATTGGTTTATGATAATCTTTTGGATCAAAAACTAGTGATAATGAACATACTTTAAGTCGTCCACTAAGCCATGTGTCATTCTCAGTAATTGCTAATGAAGCTATGTAATCTTCAAAATAGTACTCTCCAGGTTCCAACAGCAACAATGAAAATCTATTGAATTATACATTGGTTTATTTATATTTTATAAGTAAATAATATCTAATAATATTATATCTACACTAGGTAGGTATATACTATGTTTTATGTTTCAATAATTCAACTAAGTATAAATTTATAACCCAACAATTTAATTATATTATACTTRGAAATATCTAAAAATATACAATTTTAAATTTAAATTTAATAGTTGAATTTACAGTCAACTAACAAATGGTGGTAGGGCCAATAGGTCAATAATGACAGAAAATATTACGATAGAATGAAAGGCCCAGTATATAATTGCTTTAACAATAGTTCCAATATAGTCTAGTCCTATAACAGCTAGCTCCTGGAACAACTAGAGATTAGAGATTAAAACAATTCAACAACTACCCACAGAAATTGTAGTTAGTTGTCTAATTTTCTGCAACCAAGCCTTTTGCAGCCAAATCTTCTGTCGATTTTTTTTGCCTTCCTTTCTATCATAAATTAGATAATTCATTTTTCAAATAATTACCTTTCCTTCTTTTCCATGGTATAGCGAGGAAAAACAAAATACCGGTTGTATTTTAAAGTAATATACTTATGAGTATCTGACAATACATTGTTTGCTGATTATTTTTAAGACGTAATAGTAATATAATTAAATAACTATGAAGTCAATAATTGTTTAAAATTAATATTTTTAGTCTCGGTAAACCTACCAACAAAGAGTATAAATATTGTAAMTCAATTATTTATTAAATACGATTCACAAAAACCACTTCCATATTACATAATAATATATAATACTTATAATTAAAATTTTAATTAGGTATAATTTAATATTAATTACAGTTTGAAGTTTATACCGGTTGTTATGATAAACGATAAACTAAATAATATATATTTTGTCATACAGATTACTTAATACCACGAACGGCACAACTATTAACCTATTGTACTAAAAAGAATTAAGATTTAGAATTAGTTAATCAAAATGTTTTTCTTATAAGATAACAATCATAGTGAATCAGATATTTATTATTTATCATTTTCCGATGTCTTATCTTTAAGTATAACAAACTTCATAACAAATCATAATATTATTACAATCACATATTAATTTTATTACCTTGTTACAGACTACTACATTACAGACGAACTACGTATTACTACTTTGCACGTTTTAATAAGATGTACTTGGCACTACTTGTACAGATATATCACTTATATGTTATAAGTATTGAGCTTATTGTACAAATTAATTTTAATTATTGTTGTGGGCTTGTGGCTTACGGATAATATCGATATGTAAATAATTACAGTAGTAGCATGATGGCTATATTTATTCAGTCATGAGTCATGACTCATGAGTAGATGAATCTAATTGTGTTTTCTAGCCTTTCAGTATCTTATCAATATTTTTCACCAAGTATAATGACAATTACTTGAACTCCTTTTGGCTGTGAGTCGATGCACATTTTAAATCGTAATATTTTATACAAAAATAAAATAAAGTAGATTTAATTAAAAACTGGTTTAATGTAATAATGTTTCATTCATTTTAATCAATTTTTCCTGATTACTTTGGAAAATTATGTCTTTACCACTGGAAATTGTTTATATAAGCTAAATCCAATTTAACAGATAGGCACAGAAACTGAAGGCTGAAACCACACTCAAATTTAAAAAAATCGAATTTGTACGGCTCCCAAAGGTGTTTTGATTTACTGTCGGTCATGAAAAAAAGATAAATAAAAAAACCTTATGAACCTTTATCAATATAGATTTTTTCAGAATCAAGTCATTGTTGATCGTTTCGTTATTGTATATTATCTTGGTTACCAAGTAATCGATCTAATAATTAGGGTAAAGCTTATTTACCCACTAGTCAGTCCAGGTGTAGTTAATTTTTTTAAGAACATGCTAATCGAATAACTTTTTGTATTTTTTAAATTTATATAATATGATAAAATAGGTTGGCGAAAAAAATGACCAAGGAAAAAAAACCCCAAAAAACATTCGTTAGAATAATTTTAAGAAAAAAGTTTTTCAAAAAACTAACGTAATAGGTTTTATCACTTATTTTTTGAACAATTATGTGAAGTAACGTGATAAAAAAAAAAAACTTTAAGGACGTAAAGTATTTTGTTTGGCATTTCACTCGGTCAACAGTAAACGCCAAACGCCAAGTATCCATTTGTCCTATAGGTACCTAAGGGCTAAGGGCTAAGCCTAAGGTACCTACTACAGTACTAACTGACAGTCGCTGTTCGCGCGCAAAACGGCGAAACGAGCAACAAGTACTGAAACAATATGGGTTTCACGCGTTGTTATGGGCTTATGGCGAAGTGAACTCAGACCAATGCCTATACACAACAAAACGACGATTACGCGGATATTACGGGTACCGTTCACCAATATTGGTGATGGGTACGGCGGTAAGGGTATAGCCCACAGATATAGATTTTTTTTACAAATTATAAATAAATGACAGTACCCACAATTCACTCATTACCGAGTTCGTGGTAGACCACAACAAGTAACTATTTATAGGCAGCTGCAGTGTCAACACTGGGGAACAGATTGAAAATAGTTATAAGATCAAACTATCGGAGCCGCGACTGTTGTGCTTTGATGGTTTCTTGCCATATTTTATGAATGGGCTATAATATTGGGTTTATGAATTATGATATAAAGTAATAAAGTAGTTAGGTAGGTACCTAAGTTTATACTTTTTAGTATCATATTATCAATAATCAATGACTGTTGTACCTCTGTGCTTGTACTAGCTGTAGACTGTACTACTGTAGTACCTAGTCCAGAGTTGGGTAATATCAATATCTATTCTGTGGTAATATCAAAGATACATCACATAATCAAGGATACAATATTCTTGTATGTTGTGTCGTGAACTCGTGATACATTATTTTAAGTATCAAGTAGCATGTACCTTATTTTTCCTAAAGATACAAGATGCTATTATTGTAAACTAATAATATTGATTTGCACAAATGTTTAGGTTAGATATATTAACCTAACTTAACTTAACCAAGAAATTTGATTTATATTAGCAGGGCACTCGAAACTTAAAATAAAAGTAACAAATAATACTTTAATTTTTTTATCACTCGAAACACTGCACTCAGTACTGTATTCCTAGTTTATTATACTGTATGTTTATATTGTACCATTTTATTTTTATAATGCTTAGGTACTGCATTGTGTGTAACCGTTACCGTTTATAATGTTTATATTATAAACGTATGGGAAACCTTGTATTCAATTTTTAAACTTTTTGACCCAAAGGAATAAAATTTTATTGACATTTATGGACAAAAAAAACTAAAGAAGTGGAAAATTAAAAATGTCTATAAATAATTTGAAAATATTGAAAATATTTTGAAAATCTTATCAATTATAGAAAAGATGAAAATCGAAGCATTATTTCGACAACTGATCATAAAAAATAATTAAAAACATCATTGTAAAATCAATATATTCATCACAACTCTCAGAATCTAAAATCAATTATTTTGAGTTACATTAATACGCAAATGTTTGAGATACCTTTGTAGTTATGTGTATATTAATAATTAGTAATAATATTTACATTTACATATTATATAATAGTATATTAATACATACATACATTATACATATAACATGTATAATAAAAAGTTGTAGGTAGTAACTAGTAGGTATAATTAGAGTTGTACATTTTGATGAACATTTTTAAAACTTTTTTTTTTCATTTTGTAACTATTTATTTTTTTTAAGTTATAGAACATTATTTTGTTAAATTAATACAAGTCACACCCTTGTACCTACCGAAATTATAGTCATATAATCACTATCGTTATTAAAATAATTATCACAGTTTTTGTTTCCTATTATTTCTAAATAAGTATGTAGAACTACTACGAATTGTTAATACTATAAATACATACTTACGCATAAGTTAAAAACGTGACTGAGGTTTTGTCTATCTCTTCATATTCATGTCTGTAACGATTCTAACTATGAACAAAGAAAATTTGAAAAATTTGAGTTTTGAAAATGTTGCTGAAAATTTCATTGAAATAAAATGTTTATAGTTGATGTTCATGTTATGGACATTTTCATTTTAACAGCTTATATATAATATTTATAGAATATTTAGAATTTTTTTTAACTTTTCGCCAACTATAAAAATAATGAATCAGGATTTTTTTCCAAATGTTGTCCGGCTTAAGGACTCAGAAGTACCAAAGCAATATAGGCCATATGACAGTAAATTGACAAGGGAATTAAAATCACAACCCATTACATTTTGTTTGACACAAAACACAAATCATCTCTACATATTTTCTTCGATTAAGAGTTCAATTTTTTGGTACTGATGTACATCATAATCTAAGCCCGTGTTGTTGTCGTAGGTACTGCGACTTAATTGAAATTATTCACAACAGTAGAACCACAGTCCACGGTGGGAACAACAATTTAAATATATATAATATATATATATATAATTTAAATTAAATAAATGACATGTTATTTATTTAGTTTTTGTTGCTTCATTTTTTGTTCATATATAATGTTTATGAAGATAAACATATTATTACAACATTAATGATTCACTGTCTTGAGATCAAATTACCCAAACACCTTCACCATATTATGGGGAATTATAGTGTGTGTAGTGTGTATACTACCAAACAATTTTGTCTGAAACATTCTAAAAAATATTATGAATTTATATTTTAAATACTTAAAAAAATTCTATGTTAGATGACAATTATTTAAATCTCAAATCTCAATAATATTATATTAATTTGATAACTTTTAAGAAATTTAACATTTTATCTTAGTTACATTATTCTTAGATACTGGTAATATGATGATAAAACTGCGAGGGGTATTAATTTAGTATCTGACATTCTGACTTACCTACCAAGAAAAAATTGAGTTTAATATGAGACCTATCAAGGTGATATATATTATATAAGGATAACAAATGTGTACAGAGGTATTATAAGAGGTGTGGTACATTTTTAAATTTTTTTTAAGTGATATAAAAAGTGTGTAGCTAAAGAATTTTTTAATTAAAATAAACACTTACTAGAATAAAATAATTTTGTAAAATTTTTTAAATAATTTTAACATATTGTTCTATTTCTATGCTTAAATGATGGCGTTAAAATGGTTTGAAATTAAATAATTTTTAAATTCTTAAACTACATATAGTGCAAGCGTTTTAACTTTTAAAATGGCATACATTTTTCAAACTGTTTTAACGCTATCATATAAACAATAATATTAAATATTAGTATATGATGAGTCTTCAATATCCATACATATTTTTTACCAGGGCTTAAAACCGGTAACCGGTTTGTAACGAAAACCGGTAAAAAACCGTATATTTGAGAACCGAAACCCGGTAATCGCTTTTAGTTTTGGAATCCTGGAAGCGGTTATTGTTAATCGGTAATCAAGGTAAATATCTAAATATTAACATCAAYGCGGTTACCTCGTATTTTCAATCCCGGTTTTATAAACAAAACCGATTCCCGAGTTCCCGACCAAAAAATCAACGTTTTTTTCGTGGAATTTATTAATTGAATTATGTCATGATAACATTATAGTTWAATTTAATTTTCCARCTATTTTTAAATTTTTTTCCACAATTAATTGCCGTCGAGTATTGCTTATCTGTTATGAATATCACATATATTATATAAATAGATATAAGTGTATAACTATATAATATTATAAATAYTGTCATAAACGTCSCATTTTTCTCAAATTATAGATTTAAGGACAAATGTTACACCCAAGTTTGGAAACAAATTTAATTTATTTTTAAATCTAACWATGGATTTGGACTTTTAGTAAATAATAATTTTTATATTGTTATTGTGGGGTTTAGTATTGAAATTTATTTATAATTCATATTTTAAATTACTATTACACCCATTATCATACCYATATCTCTAATAAAAATTATTATTTATAAATGAGTTTTTTCACTTACTTAATTAGTATTTTAGATAATTTTTAAGGTCATGTTTTGAAGTTTTTAGGGCATTTTTGCACTTTTTTTAGGGCATTTTTGCATTTTTTTTAGGGAATTTTTGAGTGTTTTTTAGGTCATCAATATGACAATATCCTAACTCCAGTTATTACCAAAAAGATCTGTGTCAATATTTCACTCTTGGTGTCATCTTGAAAAATTATTTATTTTTTCGGTTTCTTACAATTATAATGTTATAAATAAGAAAATTATAACAATAACATTTTTTATTTTTTATTTATTAAGATCGCCATTATTTCGATCATATGCTTTAAAGTTTAAACAGTTTAAACTTGAAAGTAGTTTGAAAAAATAAATATTTAAATTATTGAAGGAAATCCGACCAAATTAAAGCATATTAAGTTTTTGATTTTGTATTAAATAATAATACTTTTGTTATCAACCCACGAATGCCTAAATAAACTGTTTTAAAAATATGATAAAAAACTGAAAAAAATGATTTTTTTAAAACCGGTTTTAACYGGTAACCGATTACYAAAAAAYCTTATCAACGGTTTTTAAACGATTAACGGTTATTATAGTGTTTGAAATATCTTTATGGAAACGGTTACCGGTTACCAAAATATCACAATTAAACGATAACTGGTTACCGGTTTTAAAAAATTACCGACTTTATTGATAACGGTTTTAAGCCCTGTTTTTTACTAATATTTTGTTTGGCTGATTTAGATAGTACCTATTCAATTTAATGCTGTAATTTTTATGTTTGTATTATTAATTATTAATAAAAAAATAATATCATTTTACGATTTTTAATCTGACTTAAAATACTAAAAATGAATACCCAGTATGGTAGGTCTTGTGATCCAGCACTAAACGAAGATTATGCAAGACTTTAAATACTTGTTTTCTAAGCTACAAGACAAAAATAAAAGGTACAGTTAATATTCTTCCATCATTATAAGTTTAGAATTTAAATTAGTAATAGTTCTGAAAAATATCATAAGATATAAGTACATACGTTTTAAGATTAGCACATTTTCTAAAACTCAACAATCTGAATGTTTAATTTTTAATGTATCAGTGCGATATCATATATTATAATTGATTGTCATTATTATCAATAATAATTAGGAATAATGGGTTCTAATAACGATGCCTGATTAAAAAGAATTAGATCAAGCTACAATTCAAAAAATTCAATATTGTAGTCATTAACATAATATCATTAACATTAACATATACATATCATTAACACTGTTAATTAGTAAGTATTTTTCTATAATCATACTTATTTTTGCATTAAATTTTTTTTTTTTTAGCATTATTGAATGGTGGTTAAGTATACATGTAACATGTTTAAAAAGAACAGCATTATGTATGAAAAGTGAATAACACTTTGCTGCTAGTGCTACGCTTGATAAATTTTCTCTTACACATCTTGTATATATTGTTATTACTCCTGTAAGATTCATTATAATTTATAGTACAAGATTGTAGAAGTCAAAAATATTTAAAAAAGTTGCGGTTAATTATTTCTTACATACATATAAATATTTAATTTGTACTCAATTATTAGTATAGTAGTTACTAGTTTACTACTTACTTGCATATTTAAATTTCAACTTTAATTATCTGTTTTCCATAATATTTGGAAAGTTGAGAAAAAGAAGGTTCAGAAATATAGAAAAACGATGTTGGAAGATGTTTATGTAAATGTGTTTAGAAGCTAATAATAACAAGAAAGTATTAAACAATTGGTTTCCTGATTTGATAGTGGCATCAACTTCACAATCCTTAGTCAGAACTTATATATTCCAGGAAATTAACTAGTATGTTCATTTAAGGATGAATAAAACTAAGCATTAGTAAAGTCTCTTAATTTAATTACCCAGCTATTTATTATTATATTTTATAAATACAGCTGAAAAGTAACGAAAAAAAAAATTACAATATTTACAAAAAAAATTGGTGCTAAAATGAAAAACACTACACTTAATAATGGTAAATATTAGATTTTGTACATGATATGAATTATGAACATATGGTTCTATCAAAATGTATCTATTATATTATTATTATTATTCAGTGATTGAAAAAGCTCTCTTTTTTCTTGAAAAATATGAACTCTCACACTCTCATCTCACTGGGAATCTGGGATAAAGAATACCGAGTTACTTGGTGTTAATAAATTGTATGTTGTTACAGAGACATATTATATTAAAACATTTGATAGCGATGAAAGTTTATTTCATGCTAAAAATAACTGGTAGACATACTATATTATGTTAATGTAATTCCCACTAATTTTAAAATGTTAAAATAGTTTTCCATTTAAAAAACGTACATTGATTTTCAACAATTTATACGTTTTTTTACAAATATATTATTTTTAATTAAAAATTCCTATGAAGTATTAATTGAAGAAATAGATCATTTTGTTGCATGAATATTGAATACTTAAATTTATGGATGATCGAGGAAATCACCTTAATCAAACCCCAGTTATTAATGAGAAAGATGTTAATTCAAACAAACTATTTTAGGCATTTGATAAATTAATGTGGTATTTTAGTATAATATGCATTAATTGCATTATATAAAATATGATTGGGAGAATAAATAGCCAGCTGTGGTGCTTTAACATTTTATTTCAGTATTCAATTCTTTTGTTTGTGGGATTAAAACGTATATAATATTTTTTATATTATTTGCTATTTACTCTAATTTATTTAAAATTTTATTCTAACCAACTATTTTGGAAATCAAATATTTATTACTTAAATAAATAAACAGTAGTAAAATAATACTTAAAATCAACTATATTTTTCTTTAAATAGGTATGAAAATAATATATGATCAATTAATCACATACTTATACTTGATTAAACAAAAATGTCATAAATATGTTTCCAAAAATAATACAATATTACATCATCATGATCTAGTTGATTTTAATTATATTATAATTGTGGGCTTTTTTCATGAAAAGTATTCAAATAAATTTTTCAACAAATTTTTGTCATAAGAATTTTTCTAATGATTAAAAACATTTTTTTTTACTTAATATTTTGTAAATTAAGTATTAAGACTACATTGACCAAATTTAAATTCCTTATTGAAAATCAAATCTTAAAAACCCTGTTCATGTATTTTTTCATTCTTTGAATGAGAAATAATACAAACTCAAAATTTTTTTAAAATAATATAAATCATACCTAACTATAAAGTATATGAATAATTTAATAATATTGACAATTTTTGCAATATTTAAAGTACTAGTGTTTGGCATTTTCTTTCTTCATGTTGCAATCATAAGAATTACAATATGCACAAAGCTCACCTTGATGATTTAATTTTACTACTTTGGATGTTTTAGTTGGTGAATTAGTAGTTGGTTTGTTGTCAAGTTTGGTAATGTTTTTAATTTTTTGTTTTATTGCATCTAGGAACTTATCTAAAATATATTTATGATGTATAAAGACATATATATTATGTAAGGAAAATTTAAACATATTTACTTATATTATCTGCTTGAGTATCATTGTTCTTAATTGTACTACCTTCATATTTCGTAATGTTTTCATGGTTTTGTGAAGAATTGGTACCAGAAAATTTTGTCGCATTGCTAAAAAAAAAATCTTTGATGTTTAAATATTTTATGAGTACTATTTTTAATAGAATTTTATTTTGTGCAGCAGTTTTGTGATTTATCTCTTTATTTAACTTGTAAATTGTTGTTAACATTATAACTTAGTGTATATTTCTATTCTTTATAATTATAACTGTCACGCTAAGATGACGTTATACACCCTTATTATGATGTTTCCTTCTTAGTAATGTATAATACATATTATATAAAAAATAAATACGTCCAGCAATTTCAATTTTGTGTTATTAGCTTAAATATTTTAGTGAATTAACCTTTTATCAAATTTAAAGGTTGTATAGCATGATTATTCTCTTGATTAATTTTTGTGTGAACTATGAGTATTTTAAAATATTAACATTTTACAAACTCATAACTCACTTATTAACAATTAAAATATAGTAAAATATAAATAAATAGAGAACACAGATAATTCTTTTACATTTAAGTTTGATAATGTGTTGATTCACTCTATTATTTAAGCTAAAAACACAAAATTAGAACTGCGGAATGTAAATTTTGATATATTATACATCACTACATTAGTAAKATGAAAACCACTCATGCAGGTACAATATTCACTTAAGTACAGTTTTTTTCATAATATCTTTAAATATTTCAGTTAGAGTATTTATTTTGAATACGTTTTGTTATTGATCTATTAACATAGGTATTACATTTTTATTTTTTTAGGATGATGCAAATTAATATGAATTAATACTAACTACCCATTTTTTTATCTTGTATAAAACAATTATTATATATGGGTGTGATTGATTTGTAAAGTTGATCCTGATATTTTTTTTAAATAATACTTTGATAGACAAACTTAACTTTTGATTTATTTCCCTAGATCTTACTTGATAGACAAAGTTGATGATCTTAAATTTGATAAATTATCATATGTCAATATTCGAAACATTGAGTTGTACAAAGAAGGTAGGGTTAACACTATTACAAAAAAAAGTCTGTTTTTCATATTTATATTTCAATAACCATTTATACAAAAATTAATTATCTGCCAAATAATAAATATTAGTTTAAATGACATAGTTACGTTTATAAATAATAAATTACTTAAAGCCACAATACAATTCAATTAGATGTTTGATGTACTTCTCTTTACTTCTTCTCATTATGCTGTTGTAATATGCTATAGTTAAAAAAAAATGTTTATACATTAAACATAATGAAAAGAGTTTAATATTGAGAGTTAATTTTTTCACATGTTAAAATATAGTGTTTATAATTTTAGATCATGTTATAATAATGAATATTGTACTCACTTTAATTTATTAACAACTCAAATTCACAAATTGTATGGAATTTAAATTAAATAATTGCGTTTATTAAATTTTTTTTTTTAATTGGATAATACTTATTGATGGGTATTAATTAAATGTATGTATATTTTTTTGTCAGAATAAAGGCTTGAACTGTTAATGTAATCATCTTATACAATTTACAATGGCTTATGTTTATAAATTATCTTGCTTTAATTTTGAGGTATATATACTATTTTGTTCTCTGATATTACAATATTTGAATTGATAGTTTTTTTTTTTGTTTACAGTAGGTTTATAAGCTTGGTAGAGTTAAAAAAAAATTAAAATATCATCCGTGTTGACTGTTGACTTTTTCTTGTACCTCCTTCATGTTGGTAGTTATTGGTTAGGCATAGAATGCTTCATTGTTCTTCGTACAAAGAGCAATGGAGTGAGAAGTGTTCTATTGTCAGCGATGCTTAAAACTTTACATTGATGGTTACATCAAATATAAATGTTTGTATTAAAACCCCTTCTTTGAAATACATAGGCAATAGAATATGCAGTAATACGGTTACTTTGTTATCAGAATTATTGTCGAGTGATAAATATACGGGAGCTTTAATATAGGTATTCATGAAAAAACACTAAAATAGACCACGGGACATCAAACAATATAAATCAGTAAAATCGACGTCCGATGATATCCTTCGACGTTCCACGTTCAGTAGAAGTTTTGTCGTCATAAACACCGTTTTGTTACTCTATTTAGGTAATAGTTATTTTTTTGGGTTTTCTTAGGGCATTAAAATCCCAGCTCTATAGTAATCATCATAACGACTAACGTATGAATTATAGTTGTCGACGAGATGAAGTTTGAACGTGCATAAAATCTATCGTGTTACAACTTTACAAGTTTACCACACGAAAAACCGTAACATGTGGTCCRTACAAATCGTACAATAAGCTTAATAAATTTAATGCTCCTACTAAAAAATATAAGCGATAAGTTCTACTACTGTCTTGTAGTATTAGTACAATAATTTGAATGTGTGTAATGTACTGATGTGTGATATATTGTGTACAGCAAGTTCATAGAACTCGGATGTTATAATTGCTGTAATAATTATGGCCACAAAACAATAAATTACAAGGTCTATATGATATAATATGAAATATATAATATAATATGGTGTATGAATATATGTATGATCTAAGGCTTTTATAATTACTTCTACTAACTAGGTATTATGGTATATAGTATTAATAGTATTATGGTATTTATATGTCTATATAAAAAGATCTATTCTTCTGGTCTCTGGTGGTACCTACAGTATATAATGGTATATAACATTATAACGCCACCATTGCACACAAACGAGAGTAAGGCTCTATAGAACATTTTCTATAGTGCCCTAACGAGAGTAGTCCATGATTATCTGTGATAATAGTTAATGATAAAGTTTATCTTAGTTGGTAGTGGTTCATAATATGGTATGCAATGAATTTAGAGAGTCACTGAAATATTCTTATCATATAAACACAATTGTCGTAATTTTAGTGGTAGTGTTTACTGTTTAGTATATGAAATTTCGAACGCAGTGTCGCAGACTCGCAGTATTGCAGTTGCACTCAGTTGCAGTAACGTCGTAACCTCGTAACGAACATACAGTACTCACAACGACAGTCTAGTGAAGAGCGGCCGCCGAGATCATCGATTGACATCCGTCCGTTCACCTACCGACCTACCATCGTACGACGTACATAAGTACATTCTCGGCACGTCCTCCTTCTCAGTTTCTCACCGAGGCCAGTGGTATCGTCGACTGCGACGGCAAGCGGAGCTTAGCTGTTCACCGCTGCATACCAACGGATTTTCGTTCTGCGTCATCTCCTCCTCAATGAGAGAAAGAATACCGGTAACGATTCACATTGCAGCTTGTTCATTCATTATTATTATTATTAATATTTCGTCTATCCTGGATGATTAGTGTCATCGACTCTGAACGGTTTTTTTGAACCAAGTTAGCTTTCTGATTTCGGCGGTGCCCCGAACTGTGCATTTTTCAATCGATCGTTGTTGGTACGTTGTCCGTGATACTGCGCAGCGTTTCGGCACAGTGTGGTCGTTCCGTTGTCTAGGCCGCGTACATGTTGCGCGTTGGTTTTATCGATCTGCAGTGATTCGTTGTTACAAAGATATTTGTTATAAATGCAGGTTAGGTATCCACTTAATTTTTTCGATTTTTTTTCCAAAATGTGTGTTAAAAGTGCTGAATACTAAAGTATAGTCAAAACATTCTCGCAAATCATTATTTTGGTAATTATAACTTTCCAAAATTTACGATTTTAGGCATTTACGCATCCTCGAAACGCTGTTCTTTTCTTTTCTACAGTTTCGTATTGGATTATTGCCAATTATTTATCTTACATTTTCACATATCCACAATTGTTTTATCCCTGTTACCTAATTGGGGTGCCTTTGCATAACAAGTCAATGGATATTTTCGATTTTTGGAGGGGAGGGACAGCGCTGAGCTGTGAAGCGCCGATACACGCTTAGTCATTGCCGAGGGATATTGTGTTAATTTGTTTTATTAGAGTTATCAAGGTAATTTGCATATTTCCATCCATCATAAAAATAAACAATTAAAAAAAATTGAAATAGTAGTTATTTTAAGGTTTTTATCAAGGATATCACATATTTTTGAAAAATTGATTTATAGTTGTTGGCATGACATTTTGAGTAAAAAAAAAAAATAAAATAAAATTTTTTTTAAAACACACTCCTATAAAAACATAACTAAAAAATATTTTAAAAATTGCACTAAAAATACAAAAATAATTTTCTGTAGGTACTTAAAAATAATGAAAAATTTACTGATGAAAAATTTAAGTGTGTGGTGCATCATACAAATCATTTAAAGCCAAGCTTAGTTTCACATACACTTCTTTGTTCAAACCTGTTTATAAGATAGTGACTATGTCAAGTGTTAGAGCACCACACACTTTTAAATTTTTCATTATTTTTAAGTACAGAAAATTATTTTTGTATTTTTAGTGCAATTTTTAAAATATTTTTTAGTTATGTTTTTATAGGAAAGTGTGTTTTTAAAAAAATTTATTTTTTATTTTTTATTTTCTACTTTTTAATTGAAAGTAAATTTTTTTATTAAACGTTTAAAAAATATTTATGAAACAAATTTCTTATATTAATTAATGAAACAAATCAAACTACTGATGATTATGATTTATTAATAAATAAAAAAGTTTTTTAATTATATTAAAATTTAATTATAACTATACTATATTTAATTATTTTTTAATTTTTTAATTTATTTATCTCCCGTCATAGTTACCCAGTTGGAGTCCATAAATAGTATATACTTGTGTTTGTACTAGCTAGGTATATATATATTTAATGGACAATATTATAATATTATATTATATTATACCTAATATAATATTACTACATTAAATATTTTAGTAATTTAGATGCCGGGAGTTCATAATTTAGGTAATGGTACCTTTACTTCCTCGGAGATGACTTTGCACACCCATCATCGCCTACCTGGAGGTCCGTGTCACAAAATGACAACGGATTATTGTATTGTCATCCAAGACCAAGGTCTATACCAATTTTCAGAATTTTTCATTGTCAATAAATCGAGCGCGCAAGATTTGATTACAGACAAACAGACGTGAAAGCGACCTTAAGAAAAGTGTGTAAAAATGCAAGCATTTTCGAATTAAACTTCTGTATTCAGTGCTTTAAAAGACACATTTTGGGGAAAGAAAATCCAAGATCGAGCATTGGAACCAAACTACATTTGTTCCGCAATATGTATATTAAGAAAAGAATGAATTTACTACATTTAAAACATTTTCAAGTTTCCCTGTTTTGTATAAAATTGTAAAATAATATTTTTACTTATGTTATTTAATTGTTTCAGATTAAGAAGTAAATTACTAAATAATGTAACCAAGTGGAATAATAATTTTTACCATACAAGAAAAAACCTGCATTTACAATGGTTCGTATTATTTTTAAAGTTTCATTCATAATTTTATATTAATAAAGTCAAAAAGTGAACTTTGGAAGTTTAAGCCAAATCCTAAAATAAAACTGATTGTATGTATTAAGAATGTTATTGAAGTAAATTATCAGTCATTGTTTGTAATTTTTAAAACATTTGTATTAAAAAAAATTGTAGTATACCTTTATATCTTTTATTCCTATGACATTATTACATTTTTTTAAACAATATTATGAATATAATTAATAGTTTGAAATCTTTGTAATTATTTTAAAATAATCAACTTATTACTTTATCAGTATTTTAATAAATATATGAAATATTTCATGAGTTATAATCACAAACATTTTTTTAAATTAATGTTAGTGTTTTTGGCTTAAATTTCCAATTAGAATTATTTTTTAGAGCTAGAGTTGCCATTGACTAAGATTTAACTATTATAGTCAGCATTATTTTATGTATATAAATTATAAAATGTTTTTGTTTAAAAATATATATTGAATTTATAAACTCTGCCAAATACTATTATTGAATGTTAATTAATAATTTAAATGAAAACAATTTTTATATTAATACTTAAATGTATTTATTCTTATTTTGCATAGAAAATGGAGTTAAGAAGACCCTCCACACATATTTATTATCTCTATCTTCCAAGTACGTAACTTAGAAAATGTACGCTTAGCAGATCGTATTTAATTCTGTGAGTTTAAAAATTAGAGTAAATTATGAAACTTGATGATAAGAACATAACCTGTGTTTGTATTTGGAATTTTACAATAACCTAATTTTTAACTGAGTTATGAACATTTTTAATTTATACTTATTTACATACGCACAACTTTACTACAATGTAGCATTGTTTGCATTGTTATAATGTTGCATTACTACAAAATTGAACTATCATAAAACACCCACTTACAAACACAGATAATCTTAACATCAAGTTTCATAATAGGTCGATTCACTCTAATTTTTAAATTTACAGTGATAAACGCGATCTGCAGAGCATAAATTTTCAATTGCAAGATACTTGTAAGATGGGGACAACAAATGGTTGAGTTGCATTCTCTTAAAATCATAAAATATAACTATAGCAATTAAACAAGAATTACAATTTTGTTCATTAAGCATAACTAATTAAATAAATGTTTTATACAGATAAAATATATTTTATTTTGTAATACAAATTATTTATTTATCTTGTAATTATTTGTCAAAACATAACGTTATACATTATTTTTAGTTACAATGTTCTGAGATAATATTACATAATGAAAAATTCATTTTTTTCATTTTTTTATATCACCAGATGAGGTAAGAAATTGGGTTAATAGTATGTTAAATTTTGATATTATTTTGATGTTTTTAAAAGTCATACAAATGAAAGAATTTTAAAATAACATGGTATATTTATGGCAACTTTAGTTTACAATTTAATATAATGTTTACTTATTCTGGAGCAACTATTCAGTTGTTGGCTGTTCAACTTGGTAATGATTGCACTTACTGTATAAAAAGTAAATAAATGAACCTAGTTGTTTTTATCCATGGGTTGATTTCAGAATGAAAAAGATGACATATGAACGAGGTCTACTACATTTACCTACTTGTTATTCCATTAACACTTAAATGGAAGTCAGTGTGTAGTATGGTCGTATGTTTATTCTTAAAATGTATGTTAATTAGATGTAATATATCTATCTGTACTTTATAGGCGTATCTCAGGATTATATGTTCTAGTTGGTTTCAAATGAAAATATATTTATTGAAAAGTGTTAAAAACAAATATTGTATAACTAAACATATATTCAATATTACTTAATCATTATTTATTATAATAATAGTATTGAAATTACTAGAATTCATAATTCTGAGAAATACCATGTGATATATGTATTTAAATTGAGTACGTAATTTTAATGATTAGTGCGTTTTCTAAAAACTATTAGGTACATTAATTTAATTTAATAATTTAAGTTAGATTGTATAAGTGCAATATCATATTATATTGATTATAAATAATAACATCTGTAATGTGTGCTGCTATAAATTTTTGACTATGTACTTTAAACTTCAGTTGGTTGATTGGGATAAAAAATATTATCTTGTTTTTATTGAGCTTGGAACGATGTAAAATTCCGCTACTAACTGAAGGTGAATATTTAATTGACGAAATCAGTTTTTGTGTTAAAACATTGATAAAATGTCCACCCAAAATTTTAAATTAGTTAATATTTATGTCTTACATGGATATTTTGAATTTTTTGAATTATGTTTTACTATTGATTAAGCTTTAAGCGAAAAATAAATAAACTGTATTATAAATATAATACAGTTAGAACAATATCTTATAATTGAAGTTGACTTAAGTTAATCATTTAGTTATAATGTTATCAAAGTTAAGTTGGTATTGTATATTTTATGAAATTTATGGGTTCTTTAATCTTAGGAGTTTCTTATTGTTCTATGCATGCAGTTAATTATTGAATTATACAATTACCTATTAAGAGTGCTTGTAATTAATGTGCTTCAATACTACATTATTATTTTTGAATAGAAAAAAATTATATTTTATTTGTGAAATATAGGTGAATTTGGATGAACCACCTTTTCTTGCTGTTGGGACGGAAGTAAGTGCCAAATACAAAGGGGCATTTTGCGAAGCAAAAATCAGAAAAATATCAAAAACTGTAAAATGCAAAGTGCGTTAATTTATCTACCATGAATACTTTTTTTATTTTAATTATTTATAGTAAATTATACTAAACAACATTTATATAAATGTGTATTGTTCTGTTAAGGTTCAATATTCTAATGGAATTTCTACATTTGTCACAGATGATGCAGTGAAAGGACAATTAAAGGTTATAAATCTCATCTATTTAAAATTAAAATATTATATCTGAGTATTCAATTTATATTATTATATTTTTTATTACATGAAGGTGGGAGCTACTGTTGACGTAAAATGTAGTGATAAAAAAGAATTTGTTCAAGCAACAATTCAAAAAATTCAAGATTGTAGTCAATACACTGTTGGTATGTATTTTCCTATAATTAAATTTATTTATGTATTTAATTTTTTTTTCTTTGTAGTATTTGATGATGGGGATATTACATGTTTAAAAAGAACAGCACTATGTTTGAAAAGTGGAAGACACTTTGCTGCTAGTGCCACACTTGATCAACTTCCTTTAACACACCCTGAACATATTGGTGTTACACCTGTAAAAACCACTATAGTACAAGGTCGTAGGAGTCAAAAACATAAAAAAAGTTCTGGGTAATTGTTATCATACATATAAATATTTTAATGTTTCTTGTGTATTTAAATTTAAACTTTTAATTAATTGTTTTCTCTATAAAAAGGGAAAGTGGAGAAGAAGAAGCTTCATCAATGGAGGAAAAAGATATTGGAAAAGTTGTATGTGTAGAAGCTAATGATAAAAAAAAAGTACGAGACAATTGGTTTCCTGGTTTGATAGTTGCACCAACTTCACAATCCTCAGTGAAAACTAATGTTGCAGAAGACTACTTAGTTCGTTCATTTAAGGATGGAAAATAGTAAGCAGTAATAAGGTTTCTTAATTGTATTACTTACCTATTTATCATCATATTTTACTAATTCAGCTATACAGTACCAAAAAAAGAAATTACTGAATTTACAAAAGAAATTGGCGCTAGAGTGGAAAACCCTACACTTAAAACTGGTAAATATTAGATTTTGTACTAATGGTTCTATCAAAATTTTTCATCATAATTATTATTATTTAGCGGTTGAAAAAGCCCTATTCTTTCTTGACAAAGATGAACTCCCGCCTCACTGGGATAGAGATTTGTTATTTGGTGTTGATAAAATTTGTGTTGCTACAGATAGTGAAGCATTTGATAGTGATGTAAGTATATTTTATGCTAAAGATACCTGGTGAACATTCTATGCTAAAATTATACCCACCACTTTTTAAATTTCGTAAAAATTATTATTTATTTAAAAAGTATGTATTTTAATAATTATATGATTTATTAATATATTATTTTTATTTTAGAATTCCGATGAAGAATCAATAGAAGAGARAGATCATTTTGTCGCACAATTGTTTAAATTTATGGATGACCGAGGAACTCCCCTTAATCAGGCCCCAGTAATTAATGAGAAAGATGTTGATTTATATAAACTATTTAAGGTATTTGATTAATTAATTTGGTGTAATAATATAATATGCTTGTATTGGATTTAATAGTGAAAGTAGATAGCTATTTGTGGCCCTTTAACACTTTAATAAGGTGTTGAAATCTTATTTTCACCTATAAAAATTATTATATTTTTTTATACTGTTTGCAATATTGTTATCTATATCTTATACAAATTGAAATTAATTATTTTATTTAATATTAATCAGTTATAGTTTGAGTAAATAAAATAATAATACTTCAAATATATTCTTGATATTCACGTAAAAGAATTATTGGCGTGTGTGCCAAACATTAATTATAAATGAAACTACAGGATTTTTCTATTCTACACTTCTGAAAAACACACAAGTCAATTAAGTTAACCCTCTTGATATATTTTATTCAAATTTATAATTATTATTTATACATTTTAATCACTTTTCTGATTAATAATAGTTAATACTATTTAATTATTTTTAGGTTGTCAATAATTGTGGCGGGTATAATAAAGTAAATAAAGGTAAATTATGGAAGTTTGTTGCAAATAAAGCTGGACATGAACAACAGTCATTTTTTTCTGTTAAACATTGTTATCAACAGTAAGTATATAATTTATTAATTGATAATTTTATTTATATAGGTTTAAAAAATAAAGATAATAATTTTAAATCTACAATATTGCAACACATAATAAAAAGTTTAGTTAGCTTTATTTAATATTCTTGTATGTATATTGATTGTTAAATATTAATAAATGATACTATCAATTTTACCTTGTTTAAATATCAATTAAGTATTCAGTTTCTCGATAATTTTCGTTAAAATGTTTCCATAAATAATAATATCTTAATGGTTTTATAAACTATTTTAATCATACATCTCTATTATGTCATTAATATACAATTATTATTTAAATGTTTATTCGTTTTCTGTATTTGTATCATTTGTTTTGTTTTTATATCTAGAATCTTATCAATATCCATTCATAACTTAGAAAAACGATTTTTTCAAAGTTTCATATATTTTTTGAAGATCCTAATTTGTAATTCAAAATATAATTATCTGTATATTTTTTGTTCTTTATTGATAATCATGTTACGTTAATTTTGTTTGATAAATTCTTTTAATATTTCTGTGAAGCCATTGATAAATGTCATAAAATTATTTTGTGATTGGTATATTGCATTTTTAAAAATATTTAGTTTATATTTTTTCAAAACTTCATTAAAATGTGTTATTAATCATCACTTATACTTTTAGGCAAATTGTCTGTTACTTACACAATAAATGAATATTGTTATTTAAAATTTCTAATGGTTTTGTTTTGAAAAATTGAGTTCTAAAATATCGTAGGCAAGCTTATAGAAAACTTATTACAAATTAAAGTTTTTTTTTTCATATTAAATCAATTATCTGCTAATTATTAAATATTAGTTTAAACCAAGTTTTTTAACCGAGTTAATATATTATAAATTACACAAAGATTTACCAAACTAGATTTTATTTTCAACTCTTAGTAAAAACTAATGTTGTTAAAACATCAAATACCCATTTATATAAATTGTGTGATACATTTCGTAACAAATAAGGGTATTGGGCATTAATAAATATATACAAATTAAAATGTATTTTAATAAATTCACACATTATTATAAATAATAAAATGTAAATTAATTTTTTTGTGTTGCGTTACAGATATTTACATAGTTTTGAAGATTTTTATCGAAAACTTGGATKTACTATGTTGAGTCATCCAAGAGGAGTAAGATCACGTAGCAGATTTAGTCGCAGCATTATTAGGGATGTTGATAAGGCGTTACCTAGCACTTCATCAGCAACTGATAAAAATAAATGTGCAAAAAATGATTTGAATGATAAAAAAAAGGATTCTACTGTAACTAAAAAAACAGCAAAAGCTATTAAAGCTGAAGAAAAACATCAAAAGAACAATGAAGAAACATCAAAGAAAAGTGATAAAAAAAAAGAAGATATCGCCAATAGCATGTTACGTAACAAACAATCAGTGAAATGGGATCCAGAAATAATAGAAACAAAAGATCCAGTTAAAAATTCTAAAACTAAAAAAGAAATAAAAGAAATCGTAAAAAAAGATATAAAAAAAGAGATAGATTCAGATACAGTAGATGATGATCTAAATATTGCAGATAAAAAAGTAGATAAAAAAAAATATTCAAGAAATTTATTTGGAAAATCAGTGCAAAAAACTATCAAAAAAGAAAAAGTTGTTAAAGTAAAATCTGCAAATACCGGGTTGCCAGGAATGAGAAAAATGAGGGCTATTAAAGAACAAATTAAAACCTTTGTTAAAGAAATGACTCCATTCAAAAAGTCTAAAAGAGGAGTTTCGAATACCCAACAAGATGCTTCAAATAAAGGAAAAGCAGATGAAGAAGTACCAAAAGTAATATTGGTTTGATTTGTACTGTATTATGCTTTTTACTAATAAATTAAATTAGTAATTTAAATTTGTATTGGTTGATAATTATTTAGGCATAAGAAATAATATGTATATTTTTAAATTTAATTTAAAAAAACTACAAACTATATTATTTTTCTAAAATTTAAATTACAATTAATTTAAACTTGTGAAAAAAGATTAGTGATTTACTTCAATTTATAATGAATGTAATAATAATTCATTTCATTTTATTAGTTGCTATATTTTTTAGTATACTTGATAAATGTAGGTTGATTTTGAAAATAAAATTTTAACATATTTATTTATAATTAATTAAATATGATTTAAAAATTAATATTTTGTTTCATTATTTTAGCTTACGCGATCAAAGACCAAAGAAGAATTACCTACTAAATCAAGGAGAGTTTCAGTATTAAGTGATCTTGCTGATAGTGCTTCTATTGTACAACTTGCACAGCCTGGACTTCTTGTAGAAAACCTAATAAAAATTAAAAAAGAGGATGGATCTGAAAAGAAGAAAACTGTAAGAAAGAAAAAGGATGATAAAGAAGAGAAAACTTCTTCAAACGATATAATTCCTACACCTGTGTATGTTTATAAATTATAATATTATTTAAAACAGTTCTATGTTTTCCACTTTAGTTATTATGTTTATAATATTTTTGTTAATTTAGTAATATTGAAAATGTACCATTTGATAAAGACTCACCAGTGGTTGTTGGAGATAATTTAGTAGTATACTATGGAGATAAACAAGCAACAACTTATGATGCAAAAGTGAGCTATTTAAATACATAAAAATATAATTTTTGTTTTAAAATTAAATTTTAAATTTATCTAAGTTAGTTTAATATTGTGTTATATACACTAAATTACAATTAACTCAAAGAAATAACTCTTATTTTTAATCGCTGTGATCAAACTGTATTTGTAAAGAAATTAATTACTTTTTGATTGTTGTTGTTATTGAATAAATTAACTAATAACTCATAATTATAATGAAAAAATAAATTAATGTTTTGTTTTTTTAAATGTTTAAAATAACTTTTATACAATAGTTTAAAAGTTTATTTTTTGGAGTTTAATTTGTCTTGTTGCCAACAAATCTTTTACAAAAATTAAATTACTTAATTTAGTTTTCTCCAAAACTATCTATTTGTATCGTTCGTCACACTGCCACTAGCTTAAATTAAAATTATTATTATAGTCCTATATTAATTTAAGATATTCATCATCATTTAACCTTAAGGGTGGATTCTGAACTAAATTTAATTGAATTATTAAGTCCAGTGGGTGGACTGAGCCCGTAATAGCAAACTGATCAAAATTGTAAAATGTCCTATATTAAGGAAAATTGATATGACCAATTTAGTATTATATTTATCAAACACTGTGTAACCTAACCAATTAAAAATAATATATTTTTATATGGAAATCTATAACTTTTTTTATAAAAGACTTCTGTACCTATAGAATATCTTCACCGAGATTAAAATTAAAAATAGCACATAGTATTCATTTTTCTAATCTATCATAATTCATAATGCCAACTGTAAAAACATTAAACCAACATTATAATTTACTATCAAAGAGAATTGATTTATATTATTCTATTATTAAATTAAAAATACAGCTGCAGATAATAAACAATTAAGATGTGTTTATCTAAATTACGGCCTCTTTGGAGCTTATTAATGAAGGGCTCTGTGCTCCTGTAGTATAAGAGCATAAGACATCATATCTATTAATCTTACAAGACAGTTAGGCAGTGGGCCAGCCCGCCTTTGCATAACCTTAATTCTTTAATATGTAATTTGTATTATTTAAATGAATCAAATTATATAAATACTATACTTTTTTCAGGTCATTAATGTGTGTGATATTGAGGGAGTAATGAAATATTACGTACATTATAAAGGATGGAATTCACGTTATGATGAATGGATAGATGTGATGCGTATTGCTTATAAAACTAAGGATCCTGAACCAGGACCTGAAGTTGACAATGACGCAGATTCTTCAAAAAGTAGTCCTTCGGAAGTATGTATATCATAGTTGTAAAATGATAAGGTTGGAAAAAACTGATGTATAATAATTTTCAGATATTGTTTTAAATATTAAAGAGTTATAAGATTATTATTTGAAATGTACTATTAATTATTAATATGTTTCTTCTTCTTTTTCCTCCCAGCTATTTGGGGTTGGCCAACCTTTATCCTCACAGTTTGACAATTAAATAATTATTTTTCCTATTCCTATAAAGTACCTATAAAAAAAATCACTTAATAATTTTATAATGTATGGTATAAACAATAATAATTGTACTCTGTCTCAAAAGAGAATATTCAGTCAGACAACTAATTTTCATCAGTGTTTTGTGTTTCATGTAGTTTTCAATGTATTGTTCGAATCATTCACAATTTACTCTTTTGAGACAAAGTATGCTATATGTTGATTTTTAGAATTTAATCTATTTACGACAGTTTTTTTTTTTGTACAAGTAAATAAATATTTTTTTTTTTTAAATTATGATTTATATATTAATTTTATACTAGATTAAAGTTTAAAATAGTCAATGTTTTGCATTGTTGAAGATCAGATTATTTAAGATATTAACTCATAGTTTTTAAAATTAATTGGATTTTTTAAATTTTAAATTTACACACTTAGTTATTAATAATAACTTATTATTATTATATTATTTATACCAGTAAAATATACAGTATACATCCTTCCAACGTCTAATAATTAATATTTTTTTTAGCCAAAAAGTATAGATCAAAAAAAGTTACCATCAACAAGCAGTAGAACCAGAAGATCAGTTACTCCACTCACATCAAATTCAAATGTAAAAAAATCACCTTTTAGCAATGCTCGACCAACCAGAATATGTACTTTGACTGATCGTCCATTATTCAATATTGGTATGTAAAATATTAATGCTAATTTATATTTATGAAAATACAAATAGGTGCAAGACAAGTAGAGTAAATAAACATTATGCACTTATTGTTATGTACTTATTATATTATAATGGCAATATTTTTAGTAGTTATTTCAAAATTCCCACTCCTAAACATTACTTAAACATTCAATGATACCAAACCCCTGTCAACTAACATTATTGGTGATTTGAGTTTTGTCTTGAATCTTTTCATTGTCTTAAGTACATATACTGATTGTAGATATCATGACAATGTTCAGTACTTGGTAAATTTAATTTATCCTTTTTGGCTGATTGTTATCATTCTCGTAATATTCTATTTTCTGTAAAATTTATTCTTTCCTTTTTTTAGAAACTATTTTCAAAATCTCTTCACATGTTACTCGTTAAATCATTTAGATCTTTTATTTTAAACAAATCACTAGGTCAGCTAATCATTAAACTATGAAATTGGAAACTGTTAAATTTTTCAATATTTTTACTTTATAGTTTTAATGTATTCAGTTTGCTCGTTATGTATAATTAATAAAGAAAATAGTGAAAAACTAAAATTATGAAAAACAAATGAATTAGTTTTTAGTAATATATATATTTATACATAATATGATGTATTATATTTTTGATTATATTGTAGATAATTCCGATTCGGAAGGAGAATACACAGCAAGTGTTGGATCATCCAAACAATACAATAAAAAAAAAGTTATAAAATCTGAACCTGGTGTTATTATAAAAACTGAGCCATTGGATTCTGATAATCAGAAAAAGACGTTGTATCCAAAGACATATCCTAGTAAAGAAGTACTTATGCAGCGAAGTGCACCTAGAAAACCAAAGTCATGTATGTTTAAAGTTCATAGCAATAAATCTGAAGAAGTTGAGATTTCTGAACAAGATAATCTTAAACCTCCATTTGATTTAAATTTTGTTATGCCGCCACCAAATGATAGTATAAAACCAAATGCAGATAATGAAAATGTAGAAGCGGAAAAAGAAAGTAAAATAGATGATGGTATACAAATTGAACCAAAAATTGCTCCTAATCATTATTTGTCACCTAAAGGAAAATCCGAAAAAAATGATCTACAACATATTTCTGATTCTTCAAAATGTGGGGATGAAGAAGTCATAATTAAATCCGAACCGTTAACAATTCCAACAAAATCAGAAATTTCAAGTATCATCTATTACTCATCATCCTCTGACGATGAAGAACAGAAGCAATTTAAAAAAGTAACAGATATCATCTCTTCCTCATTAGATGATAAATCTGATGAATCTAAAATATCTGGTACCGATTTTGATCTTAATAAAATAAGATCAGAAATGAAGGGACTAATGCCAACTTCAACAAATAGTAATAATGATGTTATTCAAAATACAGAATCGTCAATATTAGATCAACAAATAGAAACAGAAGTTTCCAAAATCAATGAACAAGTCACAGACGATGTTTACGAATTTAAAGAATCTGAATCATGCAATTTCGATAATATTTCTTCTGTCACCGAAGAAAAATTTTGTAGAACTCTAAGACATGATTCACCAAAATTATTTAGCTTAGAGAAACCTGATGAACCACCAAGAGTCATTGATTCTCCAACACTAGAGAAAATTGGTGAACAAAATGGATCCATGGTACCTTTTGTGCCTAATATCAATAGCATTTATACAGTTGATAATAATGTTGAGATAAAGGTAAATGAAAATTTGAACATAATAAATAAAATCGAAAATCCAATTATGAGAAATCAATCTGACAATGAGTCTAATGAATCCCAAAACTTATTAATAAGCAATGTTGCAGTAGATACGTCAAATATAAAAGAAATTAATCGACATTTTGAGGATGAAGCAAATGTTTCTGATTTAAAAGATGAAGTTTTGGATTTGTGTATGAAACCACCTGAATCACCACCTACCAACATTTTTAGTATGCCAGAACAAAATGAACTCAATGACATGATTGTTGAGGAAGATGATGATGAAGATGATGATGAAGACGATGATGAATCGAAATTGGTAATAGCTGAAAATGATAAAATAGAATCTGATTTTCAAATGGATTCTGATCTTGTGGTTATTAGTGAAGAACATAATTCTTCCAATGTAGAGATTGACAGAAATATAGAAGCACAATCCTTACCACCACTCCCACCAAGTATACATACCAATATTGAATTGGAGAGTAAAAGTTCATCTAAAATAAAAAGAGCTATTAGTATACCAAAAGATACAGATGATGAAAGTACTACGTCATGTAATGAGAGCATTCAAAATGCCCTTATTCAAAGTTTCCAAATGTATTCACATTTTGAAAACCATTCTAGTCAAAATAGACTTTATATGGATAATATCGATGACAATACAAAAGCTGGTTTTGAATTTGATTCAAATTCAAAATCACCTACAATTGAAGATAGAGAAATCCCTGAATCTGGAACTAAGCTTGATTCGTTGGTTAATGACAAGTCTGAAAAATCTAATTTTGTATTTGACAATGTTAAAGATAAATTTAAAAAAGAAAAAACTATAGTGCTACCAGAATTGCAATGTAGAGAAGAAATAGTAGATGAAGATACTCTCAATAATTCTTTAGTTATAGAGTACAATCGTAAATCTGCAGAATATGACATTCATAAGCCCAGTACTAGTAAAGGTTTCTTTGATTCAATACATCAGCCAGGTACAAGCAAAGATAGTTTGTATGAAGCTAGTCAAGCAGTAAAAAATAAGCATTTTGATACAAACGTCCCTGAAAAAAATAGTTTATTTGATCTCAATATTCCTAGTTGCAGTAGCAAAGATATCTATCATAACATCCCAAGTACTAGCAAAAGCAGTTTCTATGAAAATTCTTTGCCGAGTACTAGCAAAAGTTTTTACAATCCAGAATCTGATGTAAATAGTGTTCTATTTTGTGAAGAAACGATACCAGGCAGTCCAACTGGTACGTCAGAAGAACAATATGAACAAGAGGAAAGAAAAAAAGCTCTTCAAGCACTCTATGAAGCAAGAGAAGCGGCTTCAGCTATGTATGCTATGAATCAATCTTTTCGTAGCCCAATGGTAACATTGATGGGTGCTACGGATGAAGAAATGGAAGAGTATACCAATATTCTTCAAAAGTAATTTTATTGTTTTATTAGAATATAATATAGATTTAAGACAACATTATTACCTCATATTATTAGTTCCGTATTGCAATTAGATAATATAACAGATTTGTGTTCAGGGACTACAATTTTATGTTGTTAGTTTTAATTTAACTGTGACGGTCTAATAGATATTAGAAGAATAGATAGGCCATGCAATCTTATCACATGCAACTAATTAGTTAGTACAAATTTCCATTTGCGGAAGTAAGAGACCATCTTTCTCTCTTCCCCATTTAAGACAGTGTCCTCTTGCTTTGTATGTATTAACATGGCCTATCCATTCTTCTATTATCTATGGTGTAAGTAATACTATCTGTGTTATCTTATTAGTTTTATATAATATTCATTTAAATTTGAATACAAATGACTTGATGATTTGGTAGCTTCTAGAATTAAATAGAAATATCTGAGAGCTTTCGCACGTGTATAATATTGTACTTCACAAATATTAATTTTTTTGGTAAAAAGTATCAATCTTTTGCAATCATATTAATAATTTATCTATTAATTTGATTAAATTTCTTAAAACATACAAATTTGTCAAACATTTACTTGAAAATAGCTTCCTCACATTTTTAAATTAATTTTTTTTTGTCTTCAATATCATTCAAATTTTAAAATTCCTAATTTAAAAAATGTAAAATCTAATGTTGAAGGGTTATTGAGATTAATTTTTAAAAAAGTGGGATAGTTATTTTTAAGAAAACTTCATGAATAATTCAAATATGTTTTCAGAAATTTTATCTGATGACCAAGATAGATAATATAGACATAAGACAGATCTATTTTGATAGTAAATAAAGATAAGATAGAATTGTTTTAAGCCAATTTTTTTTTGTAGTAATTTATAGTACTTGATTAATTAAGATGTCTTCAAATAATTCAAAAACAGAGTATATTAATAGATGATATTTTATTGTTAAATTTAGTATTTTATTATTAAGATTGTTTGGTAGGTTATATTATTATGAATTGTAATGTATTGTTATTTCAACATTTTCTTTTTATAATAATTATAGAGATGAAGCATTACTTGATCAACAACATTTACAGTTCTTAGCTGAAGTTTCTAGTAGGAATATTGGTATAAATATAAATGAACCGTCAGTTACGGAACCACTTGAAAGAGAACCAGAGAAAACAGTTGAGAGTAAGTAGTATATAAATTATGATAGTAAAATAAATTTATTATATTATTATTGAATTTACTCACAGAAATAGTAAAGCCATCAGAAAAACTACAATCTAAGCGCAAAATAAGCAGTCATGATCAACCATCTAAACGCAGTAAATTATCTACTACTACTGCTCCTTTACCTTCAGGTAGTTAATTTTTGAAATTGGTGTTTTTAATTAAACTTTGGTGATGTGCGGGCTAATCATTTAATCTATTTTTAATATGCTCCAAAATATTTTTGTGATATTTCCATACATCATTGAGTAATGATATTGTTTGTAATTATCACAGTATCACAAAAATGCCAAAATAAAATGTTTTCTTATAAAGTTTAAAATAAATTAAATTTTTACACAAAAAGAATATACTTCAATATCAATTAAATAAAAAAATATATATTAATATTATTTGAACCAACGAAAATAACCACGCACGTCACTAAATATAAATGTATAATTAAAAATAAAAAATTTATAGTAAGTCGTGCTAAACAACTAGATGAAGACATAATACCGTTATCCCCAAGAGATGGCAAACCAATTGTTAAATACAGTAAGTTAAATTACATTTTTTATCTTAGTAAAATTAATGGTAATGTATTTGAATGATTATTATGATATTATTATAAATAATCATAAACTAAATTCAAAATTAGATTAAATAAAATTATATTGAAATATATTGTATGTATGATCTGATTAGCAATTTCTAACGCATAATATGCTATAATAATTATTATTACAACCTTTAATATTACATCTACATACAATTTTAAAATTTTAGCTCCAGGAATGAATTCAGCCCAAAGGCAAGCTATTTTAATGGCCAAAATAGATGATTTACGTAAAGAATTTAAAACAGTGAATGGTCGTTTATCTGTGGTTCATAGAAGATCGAAAAAAATTAATAAACGAAAAAGGGAGCAAGCCAAAGCTGCTAGCTTGAACCAAAACAGACATTTACAAGTAGCTAGTGGTGCTAGCACATCTAAATAAATCCGCCTATTAAAATTTAAGTATGAGATATAATATATATTAACTATTTGATATAATATCATTGAGAATGTAATTCTAAATAATATTAAATACTTCATTGTATTTATTTGTTTTTATACCTTCAATTGAAGAATATCTTATTTTTTACTCAGTAGACTAGACATTTTTATGACAACATATTAAAATTTAAAATTGTACCCTATTTAATGTTACCTAGCTATTTAGTATTAGTTCAGTGACTTTGTGTGTTAGCACTTAGTTAAAAAAATGTTTAGTTTCAAAAATTTTTTTTTTTTTTAAATTCAAATGCAATTTAAGTTTATTTAGCTGTTAAATTTGTTTTTTTTGCTAAGCTTTTGATTTGTGAGTGTGCAGAGGAAAATTGTGCCTTATAAAGATATTATTAAGCGTGTAAATATTAAAGTAGTATTTAAACACTTCCTCTTTTGTCATAAAATTAAGTGTTTTTCTATTATTGAGTAATTTCATTCTTTTATATTCATTAAGATGTTTGATTGTATTCTAGCTCTARCATAATAAGCTAATATTCCATCATTCCTTAATTTATTCAAAAATCATGAAATAAATTAATAAATACTATATTATGTTCTTATATTTGCTGAACATAATGAAATTATTTAAACTTAAATGGTTCTTAAAAACATTATTTATGTTGGTAACTAATATAATAAATTATAAAATCATTAATATTGATATTAAGTTTTGTGTTTATTTAGAAAATAGTTCACAAGTATTTTTATGTATAAAAATTTTCAACTTTTTGATGCTATCTTCTACCAATTGCTATTTGTAATCAAATCCTGGACCTAGGTTTTCAGCTTAACATTACATTTGACAAAATACTTTTATTAGATATTCTAATTGATTATCATTTGTATCAGTGCTAATCTGGCACATTAAAGACTGAAATTTTTTTAAAGAGTCCCATAATAAACAGTATCATAATTAAAACTTGTGACAAAAATTACGATTGGTTAAATATTTCTATAAATACTTTTCAAAAAACTTGCAAGGGCCATCAATTTACTGTCCAGCCAAGTCCAAAATTTTTTTCTGAAGTCCTATCTGGTAGGGTTTGAACAATTTTTTGGAAAACTGCCCGGCCAGATCCAGTGCAAATATTTTGTGAAAAAAGACTACCGTGGAAGTAAACGTTTTCAAAATACGGGTTACAAATGTCTAACATAATGTTGGTGCGTGAGCTTATTTGGAGCTCCTTTTTTGGAGGTTCAGAATTTACTTATAAATATTAGCCTTAAGGTTATATATTTTAGCAGTGCTGTTAATTACATATTTGTTAATTATATATAAATATATATATTAACTTAATTAAAAATCAGTTACTTTTTTCATATAAAATTAATAATAATACTTACCATTTTTAAAGCTCACAAATATTATAGTAATTCAATAAATGTTTTAAAATTAATTACTGTATAGCTTGTAGGTATTTATATTATACTTAAAACCAATGGAATTCAAACAAATAATTAAATAACTTTAATGTATTTATTCAAGTAATGCCCCACAACTGTACTAAATATGATAAAATAATACAATTATTATGCGTCCTGTAGTATTGTTATATACTACACAATAAATACCAAAAGTCCATGAACTACGCTACTGTAGGTTTGCATTATTTGCACTAACGGGCGAATTAATTGTTTTAAGTTAATGAATGAATAAAAATATAATAATAAGTAATAAGTTAAATTAATAATGATTAGGTAGATAATAAATAATKACTAATTAGTTTACAAACGTGTATGGGATACTGAAAATAAATAATAATATATTTTTTTTATTTATTATGACGCAGTTACCCCTATAACATTTCTGTTTATAATATTTTAGTGTGTATTATATTCTGTGAATATGCAATAATATAATAACTATTATACATTTTTATTTTCAAATAATTGATTTTTATAAAATTGAAAATATTTTCCTCTGTAGTTTAGGAATACAATTAACTTAAAGTGTCAATATTATAAATTAATTCATAAGTTACTGAAAAACATGAAAAAAGTAACTCGTTATTTAACTTAGTTAAAAGTAACTTCACTTTAAACTAACCTCATATTATCTTTAATTACACTCAGTGTTCAGTTCGGGAAACTCATATACACAAAAGTTCAGGTCATTACACTATTACACTAACAGTTAGTAGTTACACAGCATTACAGCAGCCATAGGTGTGGGCTAGGCAGGCCACGGCCTACCCTGCAAGCCATACTGTACTTGTTATACAAATCGTAACTTGATACATTTTTATCATGCAAATGAATTAAATTACAAATTACAATTTTCTATGATAATAGCTAATTAAATACATTGAAAAATTGAATTAATAAAATATCTTTAAGTACCTATCTAAATCATAATTGGTTTGGCCTACCCTGCAAAAAGGTTTTGAAATATTTCTTAAATAATTCCTTAAAAATAGTTTGTTTTCAACAGCCTCATGTACAAATGAGTAATGACTAACTAGTTCACAACATAAAAAGCCACCTGATAGACCTTAATAAATAGTAAAAATCATTGTCATATTAATTAGTAATAATATAAGTAATTTTTTTTTAATGGATAAGCATTGGTAATATTTATATACTTGGGTAACTTGGCTAACAGTATAGGTACTAGGTAGCATTTATAAATTATAGTAAAATGTATCAAGGCATATGAAAAATATTAGGCAATAAATAATAATATACATGGGGCGTTAAGCAGTGACATATACACAACTTTTGTATTGGGGGGGG